TCAATTCCTTGTCGTGCAAGTTTTGCATGAGACGTTCTGCCTTGTGGACAAGACCCCTCACTCTGTTTTTGGCTCTGCTTTCCTCCCGATCCTGAGTGGCAAGATGCCAACGTCGAATGGCCGCAAGGGGGACATCGCGACACAGCAACGTGAGCAAGTTTGGTAGTGGATGACCCGCTTTGCATGCCAGCCAGAATGGATCTTGCTTGAGTTCTGGAGCATCACTCGACGTCGAGTGATGCTTGTCAAGGTATCGAAGGAGAGAAGGGGGGGTCGCTCCGATATTGCAGGCCTGTTCCAGCGGCAGCGATCCCTTACAATTGCGGATAGCCAACGCCTGGGGAAATTGTTCAACCAAGTACTTGAAGGCTGGAAAGATCATTGTTTTTTTAGGGTCGAAGCGGAACATCTCAATGGCCACATGAAGTGGCAGAGCTCGGCTGAACATCAGTCCAGAGACCAACGAATGGGACGATGGCGCGGAGACTGAACACGTTGTTTGAAGAGCGCTGGGATCGCTAGTCGCAATGTATTTCAGTACATTCAATGGAAGGGGTTCGCGGCAAACAAAGTGAAGCAGCAGCGTGCCCTCAATTCTGATGTTGTCGCAAGGCTGGGATTGAATGAATGTCTTGACCTTGTACTTTTTGTCGGACCAATAGTGACGGCGACAGAGTGTGTATGGCACGAAGCGTCCCCACTTCGGGTCATCTATGTTGGAAACAAGACAAACCTTATCACCTTGAACGGGGACGTGTCTCTTTACAACCTCCAAGAAGTGTGGGTCCTGCACGCCAGTGCCTTGTCCAGGGCGGTAGTTAATCAGCGAGTTCCGCAACCATATGACATCGACATCCGACGCCGTCATTCCTTGTGATTCATGACGGGTTTTCTCCATGATGATAGGCATTCAGTATGTGATCGGTTTACTACTAAGGTTGTTGGCTCTCCCTTTCAGATTATTGACAGCAAACTTGCAAACTTTGTCTTCGATCCTTCGGTCAGCTTCAAAAGCACCTTAATTAAGTAGTTTCCGCGTGGAGGCTCAACCGTGGAAACTTCTTATACACGGTACACCACCGTGGAAGATGCAATCGCACTGCCTGGTCCCCATTATTTCACAAAAGCACCCAAGCACCGTGACCAACGAGGTTCCATCAGTGTGCTTTGCATTGGCGACCATGTCGGAAAGGGCTTCTGATATCAACACTCAACAGCAATCATCTAGCTGCATGGCTCTTGATGAGATGCTTGCAAGGTTCTTAACTGTGGACAGCCTCAATGACATCATCCTGAAGGGAATGATGGAGTTGAAGTGCCAGCCAACTGCTTCTTGCTTGCAGCACGGTCTGATGTCTTCATGGGCATGCTTCTGGGAAAGTTCCAGGAATCATCATCAGCTGTAATTCAGCTTGGATTTCCAGGAAATGTCCTCAAGGGAGTGGTAGAGTTTGTGCTTACAAATACAGCACAAGTTCTTCATGTCAAAACAGATGCAGAAGATATAAGTCCCCAAAAGATTCAATCATTGGTGTCATTGGCAGAGGCAGCTTCCTATTTTGACCTTGCTGGCCTTGGAGAAATGGTTTTTGAATCTTTTGAAAAGCATAACAAGGCAGACCCATGCTCATCTTTTGCCGCCTTACAAGCGTGCAGAATGGCTGGGAACTCAGTACCAGAGGCGTTTGTTGAAAAGTCAAAAGCTTGGGTTCAAACTACCCCATCAAAACTTTTCTCTGTCTCCCATGTGGCCTTCCTGAGCACAGCTGTCCTGGAAGAAATACTCATGGATTCACACATGGATTTGTCAGAGTTCGAGCTCTTCCAAATTCTATCCCTCTGGGTAGATGCTGATCCCAGTCAGAGAAGGGAACAAGGGGTTGTCCTCGCCAAGCACATCTCCTTTGAAAAGATTGATATTGAAAATTTGACAACAGCAGTGGCTTCCTCTGGGTTGGCTCCATCAGAGCGCCTTCTTGAAGCATACAAGAATCAGGCTTTGGCACTCAAGAAGCATGTACCATCAGTAAAATTTGAAGAATCAGCAACCTGACGATTCTGATGAAGCTCCAATAGCAATCAAGGTGCAAGGAGCTGGGACAGAAGAAGTGAATGGGGTTTACACACAAGATGGAACATTCAAGAAACGAATGAAGTACTCAATGCAAGGTTCCCACAATGGTGGCGAATGCATCTTCTGGCTCTACAATGGCGGTTCAAAGTGGTGGTACATTGACCTTCACACTGATGCGAATCCTCATTTGCAAAACCGTATCGACTTCTACGAGGCACATGAGAAAGATCTTCACAATGAGTTCCCACCAAGCAATGGTTGGACGCTACAGAAAGATGGTTTTGGATCACTTCCAAATCTCTTGTTCAAGTTTCGTTGTAGGAATGGTTGTGGAGAGTATGGGGAGCTCCTTGCTAATTAGAAAAAAGTGGCAATGGAGAATCCAAGACGATTGACAATCATCATTAGGGTTTGCTACACGAGAAAAACTCTATGAAGCATACAAAAGCCACTGTTAACGCAACCAAAACTCAATACTCAAATGAATGTAATGAATGTTGTGGTGTGATAGTTATAGCCTCATACCGGTATGTGTAACACGACAGAATGATTGAACCAAACACTCCAGACCAGATCAATAGCCAAAACACCACATCAACCCTCTCCTCTTGCAACTTGAAGGACATAATCGAGGCAAAAGGAGGTCAATCCTTGAAGCCAACTCTGGCACGACTTCAACGACACCGATCAAAAGCGATCAAGATGACAAATCCAATTACCAAAACACCGCCGGTAATCCCCACAATGAGGAGAGACACCGACATCCAATGCTTCATCTTGGTCTGCTCTCGGTTCTCTGGTTGTACTGCTATATCTTGCTGCTCGTTGGCGACCACCGCATCTGTTTGTTCGCGCTGGCCCTCAGTGCCTTCTTTGTCACTCACGCTCCTGTCTGCTTCAATGAGTTCATGAATAAATGCTTTCATCGCCCGTTCATGCTCGGTAAGGTCGGCTCGAAGGTCTTGCAAATCTTTGCCTTGGGTGTCGCTTTTAGCTTCGAGCTCGGTCATGGAATCGTACAGGCTTGATGTATCATCGGCATGGCTCTCGCATACTGGACGCAGTTCGTCGATGACATCCCTCAACCTTGACGTGTCATTGTCGAGGCGCTCCCGGAGTTTGCCGACTTGTGCGTGCAAATCATCCCGCAAGACTTGCTCGTCGAAGACATCTACAAATGCCTTCATCGAAGCCTCCATGGTCGCCATCTCCGCTTTCAAATCCTTTCTGTCGTTTGACATACGCTCTACATTAGCCTCCATTGCTCTCTTTTCTTCCTCAAGCGAATGAATCTGGAACTTCATGGTGGCCACGTCCCTCAACACCTGGTTCACCACCGGATTTCCATCGATATTGGTGGTGGGTACGCGAACGCCTGTTTCATCGAAGGCCAACAGGGCAGCTGAAGTGCGGCCTCGTAGAATACCTGAATGACCTGCTGCGGCCATCACAATCGCAATTGCAGTACAACCAAGCAGTGTGTACACAATGCGCGCTACAGTGGCGCTGACACCGTGAGATGCTTGGACCGATTGAGGACCGCGAGGAAGAAGTGTGCTCATTTCGTTCGCCATGCCTGCAAAGGAAGGAAGGCAAATGCAACCGAAGGTTAGGCGGTATGGTAACGCCAAAGTTTTGGATTGTGTGTTGTCGCATCTTGCTCCATGCATGCTCCGTTGGATTGATTGCATGAAAGTGAGACTTTGGTTGCACTGCGTCCCCCCCATCAAAGATATTAACCGATTGCAGTGGAAAATGCACAACTAGTGTTACGTGTATTCATCGCAAAGTGGGTACAGCGTACTGTACGGTATTCTTGGACTCAGCGAAATTTTCATCACCCACCCATGCACTATCTGCTGTCATTTCAAAGTCATACACGATCTTCACGGGAGCTTCGTGCCGTACTGTACTAGTACGAGTGAAACCATTGTACAATGGTTATACATGTATGTCATTGGTCGCCCCCATGATACACCAAAATTCTACCTTGTGGCGATGATAGGAGCAATAAGATCCCTTGTGTCCCAGGATCTATTCCCCCAATGGCGAGCAGAAAGCTGGAGCATCTTCCTTGCCGTTCTCTTCAACTCCAAGTAGTGCTCCTTCCTACATGAGTAGAACCCTATCCGCTGATGGTGAGGCTGTAGGTTGTTGTGCCTGTTTCCACCACTGCAACCTCCTCCACTCGGGACGTTGTCCCTGTTCCGACACCACCTGCCGACGAATGGAACCCGAGTGCAAGTAAGGTGAACCCCATTCACAGAATAGGAAGGGGAAAACGACGAACATAATCACAGTGAATGATATCCCAACAAACAAAAACACCATGGGCTCGGGTTTCAGCGAACAAATAGCAACTCCAAATCCCAGAAGGAATAGAAGCACGATGCTGCCCAGGGCTCGTGCTGTCATGTATGTATTCAAGATCCGCCTATCTGCTGTCATTTCAAAGTCATACACGATCTTCACGGGAGCTTCATACGAGCGAAACAGTTGTACAATAGTGTCAATCTCTTCCCGATCATGCTCCTTGAACAACGCTCGTGTGATGCGGTTCTTGTCCTGTCTCCTCGAAGACTGTGCATTGATGCATTTGGTGTGCGTGTTGGCAAACATGTTGGGGCCGGTTACATAGGTCTGATCCGGAAAGAGGCCAATTTTCTTGGCATACATCAGCTCACAAATGCACCATATTCTCGTGTACAAGTCAGTCCTTGAATTGCGCACAACGCAAAAGGAAGATGCAGCCTGAAGCGCCCTAACAAAGGGGGAATCCTCCAGAGATGCCTCCGAATCGCCCACTTGCTCTTGGACAATCCGTTCGTCATGGCTTTGCACCAAGGCAAAGGCGCAAATCCATAGACTTGGTTTCGTTACCTTGGCTTGGAACGTAGCCCGAATTGACATGACAAAGTCCGCAAAGGATCCATCCCATGCGTGGGTCACAAAGACTGATATAGGGAGCCCATTGGGATTCATGCTCAAGGCATATGATTTTCCTGTTTCCTTGCATTTGGGAATTATGATGGCCTCGCAGACATCTCGCGTTGTCTTTTGCCTGTAAACTCGATCATTGTCGCCGCCACCCTCGGTCCGAAAGAGTTGCTTTGCCTGGCGTTCTACATCCAATAGCTGGTCGTAGGAGATACACCAGTGACTTGCTGGCACAGAAGGACAGAAATGGGGATCTTGGTGGGCATCCATAATAGAGTTCCTACCGTACCTATCTCGAAGTCACTGTTCTCAAATCACGCCTTGCTGAGGCAGCGCACTACAATACCAGTAGCTGACAGATGGAGCATCTTCTACCAGGCAATGCTCTCTGGGTCCTTCAATTGCTGTTGTTGTTACTGTTGCGCCAGTTGCGGCCATTGCACTGTGGGGCTTTCTTATTACTAAGATGAGATGTTGTCAGTGGCATCCTTTTCCTTTGCGAAGGCTTCGTGCACTTCGCTTGGCAGGTTGCTTGGCCCAATAGATCCCCTTCTTTCGATCGGTACCTGTACCTGGTACTACTAATACTGTACACCGGTACCTGGTACCGCACACGGTGCCACCGGAACCCTACGGACGGTACGGTACAGTACCGGTACGGCCTTTCTTTGTTGTTACCGGTAGGTTGCAAATTGGGCCGAAAGTACGTGGTATAAAGGCTTAACCACATGGTATTACTAAAGCTTTGAGTACCGTACTGTACCATACCGTAGGGAACGGATGGAGCCAAACAATAATCGACGTCAATTGCACTCGCATCATCGCCGTTTCATATTTGTGAGACGCTTTGTAAAGGAGGAGGGATATTTTTCGACACTGTTTGCTACGGTAGATCACATTGTAGTAGTATAGACAACCATGCGACTGCGTCGGCAGTCTAGTTCGATGCTCTTGCTGTGCTGCATGGTAGCAGCCGCTTCAGCAGGTCAGGCAAGCACAAGTGAGAGCCAAACCAACACTACAGCTACAGCATCCGAAGGATTGCCTCCAAATCCTGTGGGAGACCACGAGTCTGAAAAAGCCGTCCAAAGTTCCGAAGGGCTGCAGAAACAAGATAGCAAAGATCCAACAAAAGATAGTGATGATGGGTCAACCAAGGCTGTCGAAAGGCCGCCTCAAGATGATCAAAAGCAAATGAGTCGTGAAGAACAACGAAATTGGAAGAGATGGGTCCGTAACCTGCTTTTGAGAGAACACATTCAAGATTTTGTGCTTCTGGATGGACTGCTATCTCATGCATGGAACCGCAAGGGTAGACCCAGTCGCAAAATGAGGGCCAATGTGTTGGTATATCTGGAAAATGATGATAGAAGAGCCAGGACGTTTGCCCTGGAATCTGCCTTGGAATCATCCAGTCGGCACCATGATGTCAGCGGCAGCACCATGATGGCTCCACTCAATTTTGAAGAAGGACACAACAATCACCAGCTATTTGAGGGGATGATTCTACAAGTAGATTATCAACGAGGAGATGGCGGCTTTTACAATCACTTTCACGACAAATTGCAAATTCCTGTCTGTCAGAATCTAGAGACTGCATCGGCAGCATTGTATGCCATTGACACCTATCAGCTATTGGAACCTCTGCACTTGGAACTAGGGGTCAGCGCCAAACATGCTATCGATTTTGCTTACACTCCTGTCGAACTGTCGGATGTTCCCACTCGAAAGCAAGAATACCACAATGAATACTATTCACCCTTTGCCTTGGTGGATGAACGGGCACAATACACAGATTCCACGTCTTGGTGGCAGTGGTGGCTGCCTTTTGGAACTAGAAATTCGTTCTGGAAAGGACATGATGAACAATACAAGATGTCAGAGACGGCATTTGCCGGTGGTTCTCATGGAGAAGTTTGGAGAGGGAGACGCTTGTGCCGAGACGAGCACGGCAGTCGTCGCTGGATGGGCTATTCTTCCACGGTTGGAGAAGGTGCCACTTGCCGGACCACGCAGGACCTAATTTTCAAGCGTCTAAAGGTGGAGCACGGCTACAGGCTTTTGGAGGCTGGTCTTCGCGAAGTGTACATTGGCAAGCTCTTGGCGGAAGAGGAATCCGCAAACGGTCTATTTACCAACTATGTGAATCATTTCTTTCGAGAAGTCCCAAAGAAATCAACAACTCTCAACCCATGGACAGAAGGAGAGAACGACTTGGAACTCTGGATTGTCTTTGAAGACGCTGGTCCATCCCTCAGATCCTACCTCTATGCTCCAGTATCAACGGGTGACTTTGTCGTATTCCAGCATTCGCCCGCTTGGACCAAACTGAGACAAAGCGCAGCCAAAACCAGCAAGAGACGGAAAGCCACCGCGGAGAAAGACATGTCCATCTCTGTGATTGTTGATGATGATGTTGATGATGATGACGATGAAAGTCAACGGCGACCGAAAGGCAAAGCAGGCAACAATACAGTCAGTGGCAGTGAAGTGATGAAGGAGATCTTGCGGCAAGTGCTAACATCGGCTGCGTTTCTTCACAAACATGGCATTGTTCATCGGTAAGTCCTGTGATGTTGTCCGCTTAAATTCAAGTTGTGTCATTTCTGCTTCTCTCTAACACACTCGCCTGACACATCTTCTTGGCATCAGCGATATCAAACCTTCCAACACGTGAGTAGTCCGTTTACGTTGACTTGTACCATTTATATGATGCACTTGAAAGCTTACTGTTCTGCCCAGCATGTGTAAGACAAACCTGGACCTTGACACGTTAAGAGTTAGGGGTGGGAATGGAACCGAGAAACTCGAAATTGAGTGTGTCCTTGGAGACTTCTCGAGTGCATGGGACAGCTACACCGGCAAGAACTTGTACACCAATGGACCCAGCATTGAAGAACTAACAATTGAATATGCGCCTCCGGAAGCTCTGTTGGGGTCGTCATGGGATTCATTTGAAGTACGGAGACCACAGAGCTACGATTCGTGGAGTATTGGGGTATTGGCATTGGAGCTTCTGTTGGGCTCTCCCTCTGTGTTCTCGGTCGATCAGCGAACAACGGCACTCTTAACCAACAAAATGCAGAAGAGAGGTGCTTCGGAAAAGGAAATCAGACGGGCGCTTTATTTAGCAGCGCTATCTCAGTTCTGCATTTACGTTCCGTCGTCTACTGGATCCAAGTCACAGAGACTGTCTTGGCCCCTGCGAAAGGGGGATCCCTTGTACAAGATTGCCATGGTGAAAGAATCCTGTACACTTCGTGATTTTCACCAAGCCCTTAGGGCCAGGGATCCTCTGGGCTTGGGCTTTGACCAATCAACCGACAATTTACTTCAACTGATATGGGGACTGTTGGCGTGGGATCCCATGGACAGAATCACAGCTGAACAAGCACTTGAACACCCATATTTCACGAGTAGCCCGAAAAGTAATTTGGTTCCAGGCGACCACAATGCACTGGAATCTCAAATGTTGGATCCTGGGATGGACTTCAACGTGACTGACAATGTTGATCAGTTCATCTGCCCGAAATGCGGTCGTGTTTTCAACGATTGGCAGTCTTGTCATCACCATGCAAACGCCCGAAAGCATGCAAAGTTTTGCACCTATGATCGGAGCAAGTTGCCGTCTTCAGTGAACGCCCATTCCATGCTTCCCGCTCATCCAAAATCTGGATACTACGACATCCAAGGGCGGCGACCGACAATCGAAGACTTCCATTCAATTCATCTCATTCCTTCCAAGGAATTCTTTGCAGTTTATGATGGCCACACTGGCAATATCGCATCAAAGTTCGCTGCCTCAACTGTCTATGATCACCTCACCAGTCGACTCGCATTTTTGGATGAGGAGGTTATATCCGGCACGGTTGGTTGGAAGGAAAGCGTGAAAAGGAACATCACAGAAGCATTTGCCGACATACACCAGCAGTTCCTAAAAGCGGTGTCCTTTGCGGGGCATGGAGCCATGGACAATTCTGGTACCACCGCAACGGCCGTCTATGTGACTGATGAGGCCGTCGTCGTTGCTAGCATTGGTGACTCTCGTGCAGTCTTGTCATCCTCCAAAGGGAAGAATGATGGCCGTAGCGTGATTGAGATGTCGGCTATTCAGCTCACAAAAGATCACGTAGCATCCGACGCCGAGGAGGCCGCCAGTGTGAAATCTCGTGGCGGCAAAGTATCCGTCGTAAACGGCTTGGCTAGGGTCAACGGCGCGCTTGCCATCACCCGTTCCATTGGTGATGCGCCACTTGCAAACGTCCTGTCTCGTGTACCACACGTTATATCCATGACCAGAGCAGAGGTTCAAGACATGTGTGGGACCAACGGACGAGATGAAGTACCGTGCTTCATCGTCTTGGCCTCAGACGGGTTGTGGGACATGATTTCCAACCAGGAAGCAGGTAAGCTGCTCATCTAACGTGAACGCTATTTGGTTACTATATCATATTTTGTACTAACGGAACCAACTTTGGTGAAACCCCTTAGTGGACCTTGTTGCGCAAACAATCTCAAAATACCAAAGCAACTCTTCAAATCACGTTGGCGGGGCGTTTCAGGAAGCCTCAGAAGTGCTCACGTTGGAAGCTTATGTGCGCGGAAGCACCGACAACATTGGCGTCTGTGTTATTTCCCTGAACTGAGACAACATTGGCGTTGGTGACAGTTCCCTGAACTGAGATAACTTTGACTCGCATAGGCCCTCTATCACCATCATGACATGCAGGGCTATACAGCACAAGAGTCGGCTGTCCACAACGGTGCCTCTTCATCGAGGAGGATCCTACAAATACAGAGCATCTCGATATGAAGGACAAGCAGACCTTGAACGAACTACGACGACGGATCACAACCAGCATGCCGGTGGCAACGACTTACTATGGCGAAAATGGCTTCTTCGCTCCGCGGTACCGTATACAATGGATGAGACCGATGGGGGATATTGCTGCTGGCATTGGTAGTAATGGAAGCGAAACGCAAGCCGCAATCAACCGGAGCAGTATCCTGAGCTGGTTGCCAGCTGCACTTGTACTGGCTTCAACTCCAGCCGACTCGACTCAATCAACGCAAACACCAGCAGCTGTTACGGTCAACAGCGTGTTTACCACGAAAAGGCAGACAGCCCGGCAGAAGATGGGCACAGCGTTGTGCTGCAGAGCTCGGCTGTGGCATTGTGACCGGAAATCCCTATGCCGCTGTACATGGTGCTGTTTGCCTTTCAATCGAGATTGCGACGTTTGGGGCCTCAAAATGGACCGCGAGCGTCGCAAAGCGTGTCCGTGGCGGTGCCAAAGGTTACAGCCTTGTCAAGGCAGCCAAAGGAGCTAAGCAGGCAAAAAAAAGTCAACGACGCCTGCAGGTACAGTTCGCAGAGCTCTCACGACCACCCGTGAAGTCGGAAACCTTTACAAATATGGGAAGTCCGTGGCAGGTGGAATCTGCTAAACACCGCCATAAGTAACGCTTCAGGCCATCCATCCGCTCAGGTTTCCTCCATCAAGTCTCCTCGTGGCGCTACCGGCATGGTGGGTAAAGTTTGCGTGATTCGATCTATTTAATCATTCGACTTTTCGACGCATGAGGAAAGCCATCCACCTATAGAGACGCCACGATAGTTGAAGTGCGACTTGTTACTTACTGTATGAACAATCCTAATACAATAAGTACAAATGAAGATCTGGTTGCATCTTTCCACCCAGTGGTCATATTGCTACAAGAATTCTTGGCATCAAGAACATCATTTGGGAATAGGAATATTGAGTTTGTTGGCCTTGAGAAAGTCAAGGTGTTGCAAAAGAAGTTTAGCTTGAGGGGCAAGCATGCCATCCACGGAAACAACAAAAGGGTGGAAAGAGGCATGACGCGATTCGGACTGGCCTTTATCATTTGAGAGTTTCTCGCGTTTCTGAGCATGCAAAACTTTTTGAGGGGATCTTTGTTCGGGCAGGAGCCAGAGACCAAGTCGGTAATGCGAACTTCAATGATGGCAATAGTACCACGTTCAAATAGTTTGCAATCAACTGGAGAGGGAGGGAGGAGGGCAGTGGTTAACAATGGATCGTATGGTACCTGCTACACCTCGATCGATTGAATCGAACCATTCAAGGTACTGCCAGGTAGCTAGCTGACCATATAGTGCTCTCAGCTGCTCAAGTAACCTGCAATGGATCTGCACTGCCTTCCTTGGATCGAGCCACTGGCGAATACTGTCCAGCATCACCACTTCGAATCTTCTGCCACTGATACATTAGATCGATTGTGAGTTCTGGTTGGATTTGGAGTTACAAAAATCCGTGTGGAAGCACGACCAAGGAAAGCTCTACATACCTGTGCAGCATACTCCTTCATGCCGTCTCCATAGACCATGTAGGCGATCCACCCCGTGAGGGCTGCATAGTGGGTTTTGTGCAGGCCCACATCGACAATGACTGTAAGGAGAGCCACTACCACTCCCTTTCGTGGAATATTACCCTGCTCGGCAGACGATTGGTGTTCCTTGGCCAGGACGGTCCATCCCATGACTGCCAATTCATGACCACAAACGACCAGCATGAGTCCTAAAATGGAAGTAGGAAGGGCTTCCAAAACCTTCAGCAGGTACTTTCCCAAGAGCAATGCCAGTATCATTTTGCATCCTCCCAGAAACACCACGGAAGCACCATGTCGGGCCCCAAACTTGTGCTGTCCCGCCAATCCTCCCGCTCCGTGACAGCAGGGCATGGCTCCCAAGGGACACAAGATCAAATTCATGAATCCCACGCTCAAACTAACTTCCCGCCGTGAAACAACGGCATCCGTGTCTGTGGTTGTTTTGCGTTTTTCGGGATACAAGTTGTGGGCCAAGCAACACACGGACACGACCGAGTTGAGGGTTGTGAGGGGGAGTTGTGGTAGTGCCCCCTGGAGTAGCCCCCGCTTCCAATCGTCCCAGGTGGCTCCCTGGAGTGCCCACACGATAATGGGTTGCCACCCTTGCGGGGTAGTATCTGCTGTTGTAGCTTGGGCAAATAGCAAATGGAACATAGCCAACACTAGTCCCAATCCAAACAAGTAGAGCCCTACCGGTCGTGGCGGTGGTGCGGAGGATGTTTTCCGGCTGTTGCTCTCCTCGTTCTCATTGGAAGTTGTGGTTGTGGTGGTTGGAGCTGGAGTGGTTGGTTCCCTCAACAGATACAAGCACGCAAGGGCTACGATCAATGCCAAACCAATACAATCGATTTCACTCCACCACGAAAGTCCTTGAATCATGACGAGACCTCGAATGGCAAGGTTGATTCCAACTCCCATCTGGATGCCACTATAGATGTTGTTGTTGAAGAAGATTAGGAGCAGTCAAAGAAAAATGTTGAGATCCCAATACCAAACAGCATCTTTTCCAATAGACATTTTTCGTTTCTTCCTTCCTACCTGACCACTGGCGTTGGCACTAGCCAATTGACCAGTTCAATTCCCTTGGTAATACTCAAGGCAATCATGAATAATCCCATGAATATCCCAGCAATAGTCACTTGTGTCTTGTTTGTCAATTCATGAGCAATGGCGGTCGCGGCAATGGCTTTCATGGGTTGAACTCCCATGGGTACATCCCAGGCACATCCCGTCATGACATTGGCAAACCCCGCCCAAAAGAGTGTGGGAGCGAGTGCAATGGCATTTTGTCGTGCCAGTGCCACGGCGAGTGGAATAAAGGTTCCCAAATCTCCGACACTGCCACTGATTTCGTGAATGGTCAACTGGGAGTAGAGTTCTTTGGCTCGTGTGGTCCATTTATTAGTAAAATGAGACGAAAAATAATAATAATGGGGTTGCGAGGACAACAACGGCTTCTTTTTGTTGATTTTCTTGGGTCGTTTCGGCATGGTATCGTCGTCTTCTACTACTAGCAGTTCTGTTTCTTCTTCTTGATGTTCTGAAAAGGCGAGGAGTCCTTCGTCTTCTTCTTCTCCTTCTGATAACGATGAAGGCAATGCCACTAGTCGTTGTTGTTCTTTAGTATTTGTTTGCTTCTTGTTATTAGTGCCCTCTTCTATTGGTAGGACGGCTGTGTCCATTCTCTTACCAATACAGTACTGGTAGCAATGAGACGATATCCCCCGTTCTACCGGTATGTTGTCTCCTTCGCGGTTTCCACTGTGTTCTGGATCTTTTGGATCTTTCTCGAAGGTCTGGTGCCAGTCTGTCCTCCTTCCTCCGGCAGGCCTAAAATAATTGCTGCCAGACTTTGCCGTTCGTTTGCGAACGCTTTTGGCAAGTCAAGGTCATAATGTAGAAAAACGTCCCGGCAAATTGAAAATCCAATGGCGCGCGCGATCGCAAGAATTCTTGGAGGCGCAGCCGACACGATTCGTCGCGAGAGCGCGAGCCAGCGGATTTTAGGCTGAGATCGTGGATCCAGTCGAGGCTGGAGGATTTTTGCACGAGGGCGAAGCCCAAGGGCAAAAATCCGACAGCCGAGACAGCAGATCAAGATCAAAGCCGTCAATGAGGCTGGGAGGTCTTTGTCTGTAATCTACTCGACAAAAGCCCGAGTAAATAAGCCCTACTGTTAGAGAGTCCTGGAGTACTAGTAGTCACTGGTAGTCATCATGTCTTCTGCGTCGTCCACCGAAGAAATAGAAGTGACAGAGGATCGCCGTAACCCACTTGCCGACAATGACTTCACGCTTCCACCCGTAGACACCAGTAGCAGCAGTAGCGAGGAGGAGGATGAGGAAGAAGCCGAAGTCACATTCCAAGCCGAAGAGGAAGAGGAAGAAGAATCGGAAGAGGAAGATGGCCACCAGTATGAGGACGAACCCCGTCATCCTGTCATGACTCAAGGAACCAGTGTGGTTGTGGAAAATCTTCTTGCCTTTCGGTCCAACATTGACTTTGGTCCTCCCGCACCAGCTCCAGCCAGAGTCTCATTGTCTCCCCAAAATCCAACTCCAACACCAGAAAATCCACCCAAAAATGCTGCTGAAATTGCCAGTGCTCTTGGTGTTGGTCGAGATTTTACCACCTTGGACTTGACAGAGCAAGAGCAAAAGCTTCTAGAAAATTGCAAGGACCAAGGAAGACGAGGCAGAAAGTATGAGAAGAAATGTGAGAGCCTTCAAAAGCGATTCTTCAAGACAATCGAAGAGCATGGAGGATCCGTCTTGCACAGTCTTCTTGAGATAGTTCCCGTTGATTATGACCAAGGCCACTCAACCAACTACGCTTTCTTCAACGTGGTATGCGGAGAAAAAGATCGCAACAAACATAAAATCCTGAACTATTGTGCCATCTTGTGCGGAATGAAATGGTTGTGCTTGTCCGGTACCAACAAAGGCAAGCCGCTCTCCCCCACCGTCTTCACACAATACATCAACAATGTATTTACCGAGTGGAGATCCATGACCCACAACAAATTCCAGTACACCTTCAAGGAGGATTTCAATGCCAAAGGAGATTTCCATGGAGTCATGATTCAGTTTTGGGCAGAAATCCGCAAGACCGATCCAACCTTCGGAATTCGCAGTCATCATTCGGAGATTGATTGGGAAGCAGACAAGAAAATCCGCGAAGCTGTCAAAGACGGACGACTTCAACCCTGGACAAATCCAAAAGATCTCCAACGTGTCTGTGTGTTCCACCTTGGTCGATCGTTTCTTCTTCGGGGTGGTAAGGAAATGTCAAGTCTCATGATGCGGGATACTTATTCCGGGATGTACACTCGGGAGATGGGGGACCTGGCTGGATGTCTGCATATGGCAATCCGATTACCAGAAGACAAGACGAATCGACTGACATTTTACAATTCCAATGCTCTTTCGGACAAAGACCGTTGGTTGGAAATCGTCGAGAATCCTCGTGATCCACTGTGTGCTTACAAGTGTTTTGACTTTTACCTGTCGAAGTGTCATCCGGAAGCCGAGAAGTTCTTCGCCAAGGTTGCCTCCGACGCGCAGAAGAAGGAATACCGTAAATATTTCACGAAGCACCCAGTTCACGCGAACCGGTACAAGGATCGTGACATTTGGTTCCAACCGTCAGGTGATACCGCTCAATACAATCTTGGCCACAATACCGTATCCAAGATGGCCAAGGAACTCGGCACCACCATTGGAGTCACGAATCTTGAGAAGTTCACGAATCATGGTCTTCGTGCCTATGGAATCACCAAGATGCATCAAGCTCGTGTTCCAATGGCTGCTCGATTGAAATTCGCCCGTCACAAGTGTGAACAGAGTCAGATTCCTTATGCCCGTCTCGTAGATGAAGGTCGATCGACTGCTCTCAAGGCACTGATGTGCTCTGATAAGGACTTAGCGTTGGAATCTGATGATGAAGACGGAAATCCACGTCCTCCTAGACGAACCCAGGAGGAAGAATCCGACGATGGGGGCGGTAAGCCACGCGCCAAGCGAGCCTCCAAGCGCCAAGCGCAAAAAGAAAAGGATTCAACTTGGAAGAAGTCGACCAAGTCCAAGAAAAATGCGTCCGCCAAGAAGTCAGTTCCAGAAGAGATCTTGACTCAAGATTCGGACGATGAAGAAGAGGCTTCCTTGCTGACCGAAGATCCATCCGTCATTCCGGACGACAAGGTGTTGAAGAAAATGACGAAGGCCCAGTTGCTCGAGCTGGTTCACGCTCAAGCGGCGGCATCGTCGGCGAGTGTTGCATCCTGTCCTGCGGCCGCCGGTGGTGCGGTTGTTTCCGTGGCAGGATCTCATCAATCGGTGGCGATGGCTCCATTTGCGGCGGCTCCAGTGGCGGCGGCTCCAGTTGCGGCGGCTCCAGTTTCGGCGGCTCCAGTTGCGGCCGCTCCATTGGTGGCGGCCAATCAAGTCATGGACCAACGAATGTATCAACAGCAACCGATGCCCATGCAAATCCAGCCGCAGCCACAATACTCGATTCCCATGCCAATGGGTTGGAGTCAAATGGTGGCGATGCAGCAGCAGGCCGCCATGATGCAGAATTTGATGATGCCACAACCACAGCAGTACATCTATCCGCAGTTTCAGCAGTCAGCTCCACAGATGCAACCCGTCCCACAGATGCAACCCGTCCCACAGATCCAGCCAGCTCAACAGATACAGCCAGCTCAACAGATGATGCAGCCCGCTCAACAGATACAGCCCGCTCAACAGATGCAGCCACCTCAACAGATGATGCAGCCCGCTCAACCACAACAGCAGCAACAGATATGGCTTCGAGACGCCAATGGCAACTTCTTCCCTGCCGCCAACCAGAATCAGAACGGATCGTCCTTTTGAAGAGTGAGCGCCATGGTGGGGGTTTGTGGGGCTATTGTGTAGTTTCGGTCTGAAAATCAAAGAAAAAAGGGCATAGTTTCCTTTTCGCTTTTTGATTGTGGAGATTATGAGGCAAACTGCGATAATGAAGAATATCGATCGGTCGTATCTTTTTGGGTGGAGTGGTTCCCATTTTGACGTTCCGACTGTTGGTTCTCTCTTAACGTTACGTTTGCTAAGAACCCTAAACATTAGAAACAATTACATTTTTCCATCCTCTTATGCAAAGAATAGACATAGGAATTGTCTCAGAAAGTGGAAAAACATATTTGCTTCTCAAAGATATGGTTTAGTTCGATCGATCCCACGAACAACGCACATGCACCGAAAAATTTACACATGTTCACGGAAACATTCCATTGAATCGTACCTAATCTTCAAACTATTGATTGTTGCTGTTGGTTGATTGATGCCCTGTTTCGTATGGTTGATTTGTATGGTGGGTGGCATCAAATCAAACCCAGCGACAATGCAAGGATTGAATCGTAACAATTCGATACTCAACAAACACACACGCAAAGAAAAAGTCTCAACTGTCGAAAAATCCAGTCAGAATCCGACTGAAATCCAACGAACGTCCGATGAGACATCTCTTATATAAATCTCCAGAATCTGTGGAATGGGATCATACTGGTTTTATACAGTGGTTTATCCCGGCAACAGGATTTCTGAGAAACGGCCGAAGATCAGACTGGATTTTTGAAGATCAATGTCACATCAAATTTTTACTATATAGTTTTCAGTACGAAAATCCGATTGGATTCTGACATCAGGCCGTTACCGGCGATTTCAATCCTGTATGTAAGATTTCGAAATCCGAATTGGCCTATCGAGTCTAATAACACGGGGATTTCGACCGTTGAGAACTTTCGACAGTAGAAAGTGTACCAGAGCTACGAGGGCGTTGACGGGTGGATTACTATTCCCAGAGGGTAGATTATGGGTTCCCAACAACTCATTGTGCGTCTCGATCAACTTATGGATACTTCTGGCGTACCGTACCGGTGGTACCGCTGTTGACTGAGTGTCACTCGTCGTCGCAACCTTGTCTTCAGAGCCGAAACAGGTCTGAAAGTGAGAGAAGGCAAGTTGGAGCAAGGCACCGGCGATCCAACGCACCTGACCGAATCACCTTCGTGCACCTCGCTCTCCTGGTGACGAGGGGGACTTCCACTTGGCTCACGTCGTAACGAAAGGTCTTGAGGAGTAACCAGTTGTTTCAGCCAGCTGCTACCGGTGCATTTGCTAGATAGCTAGCTAGTCGAGTCAATACCACTGGGACCAGACCCATCTCGGAGTTGAAGGGCCTCCAGTTCCAAGGCAACCAAAAAGCCAATAATGGAAGTGATGAGAGTCTCTGTCAGTTGGTAGAAATGAAGAATACACCCCTAGCTAGCGAGCTACTAGCCAGGTACTTGTCGGCTTGCTGCTGGGCGCCGCGTCGTGGCAATAATGAACCTACTATTTTAGAGAATTATACAATTTTTACGCATCTCCTACCGGTACGATTATCATCGTCTTCGCAAAGGTGCAACTGCCATCATCCAACGTATCTTGCTTGGATAGAATCAAACTTTCGTCTTCCAATCGATGCAAAAACACGCAGCATACAGTATATATATGTCGTCCTTTGTCGCACCATTGCCAGCAGACTCCGCCAAGAGCTGCCTCCTCCTGAAGATGGTGATTTCCTAAAGGCTACCCCGCTGTCCTAGTCGCTTCTGGTTAGGGCCCACCAACCTCTTTTGTTGCACCAGCACTCTTCGACCTCCGTTTGGATCGCGAATCTTGTCCAGGTAATCTTCTCGGCCAAATGTGAAGAAGACACGGTTGTAGCCAAGCTGCCAAATTGGGTCAAGATCCGGCACATGGATGCCAGTATTGCACTCCTCTCCACTTGCACAACACAGCGCACAGCAACCAGGGAAATCATTGCAGATGCTGCAGTCAGCCACAATGACAGGCTTGGCCACAAAGTTAGGGTTGGCACAGAACAAATTGCCCAGGTTTCCTTGAATGTTGTCGTTGGCTTCCACATACATCAACTCTGTACGTAAAAAATAATAATAATCAATGCAGAGATGAGCAAACGAGTTTCGACGCGAAAATTGCAAGAACAACCCCATACTCCTCGATACGTACTCAGACTTCTCAAATTCGAAAAACTGTCGGGGAGGACGCTGGTCAAATTGTTACGGTTCAAAAGAAGAATATGCAAGTTCTCCAATTGTCCCAACGATGTAGGGATGGTTCCCATGAGACTGTTGTCGTCCAAATCCAGCAACACCATTCCTTGCAAGTCACCCAAAAAGTTGGGAATTGGACCAGTACGCTGTGTTCCCTTCAGCGACAACTCCTGCAGCTTGGTCAAGCCTTCAACCCAGTAGGGGATGTTGTTGGCTTCGAACTTGTTTTGGGCGAGGAAGAGATACGTCAGATTCTTCAAATCGCCAATGGTGCTGGGAATCCGCCCATTGAATTCATTCTGTGAGAGATCCAAGTGGTACAATGCTTTGAGCTGATTGATCGATCCAGGAATAGGAATATCCTTGAGCTGGTTTTTCTGCATGGCCAACAACTGCAAATTGGTGTTTTCGTAGAACAAAGTGGGCATATTGGAGAAGTCATTGTCGTGCAAATCCAAGACCTTGAGCGTTGGCAGAGTGAACAGGTGCGAGGGGATGCTTCCACCAATGTTGTTGTCCGAGATATCCAGATATATCAGTTCGCCCATTTCCTTGAGAAAGTGTTCTCCCAGAGTCCCTGTAAACTGGTTATTCTCCAAGTAGAACTGTTCCAAGTTTCTCATTCCCGGCATGACAGAAGAATCAAAGACATTGTCCAGGTTGGAAGTGAAGAGATTGTTATCCAATGCCAACCCTTCCAGGTTTACCAAGTTACCCAGGGAGACGGGCACTCGACCAGTCATGTAGTTGGTGGACAAGTTGATATTTTTCAAGGCCGTCATATCTCCCACCCATGCTGGAATAGATCCTGCAAGACGATTGCCAGCAGCAAAAAAGTTGACCATGTTGGTCAGTTGCTGGTAGGTATCAGGGATGGATCCTCCAATGTTGTTGAAATCCACGTCGATATCGGTAACACTGGTAAGGAAACCCAGTTCAGCGGGAAGGGTTCCCTCCATGTTATTCTGGTCTGTAAAGACAAAATTAAAAAATGGTGTGTCAGATAAATTTCCAATGACACCACAGAAAGAGAGGAAAGCTATCAAAAAGCAAGCACTTACTGAGAAAGAGCGCCACAGGCTGCCCCGACGTTTGATCACAAAAGACTCCCCTCAGTTCCGTGCTGGAATCCACATACTGCAAAATAGCATACCAAAAGCAGATGGATGTTGGCTTGAGGAAATTGAGGTCAAATGCCCAGGTTCGCAGTCCCATGGTCGAGAAGAAAAAGGTAGCCAATGCATATCGACTAACAAATTCGTATCCTTGGGGTGTCTTCCAATCTCCTTCCGGAGGTTCCAGCTTTAATCCGTCATTGACAGCCATAAAGGTCAAAGCCCTGTTTTGAGGGGATCCTACAGCTTCGAGATCTGCCTGGGTAGAAATTCCTTGCTGAAGCAAATACTGTTTAATTGCTCCTGAGCGTTGCGCCGGGGCAAGAGTCACAACCGGAGCCGATGAGTCGGGCGCTGGTGTGACGGGGACGGGTGGTTGGGTGACATCCTGGCCAGTTTCCTTTCCTCCATCGGTTGGTTCCTTTTGGTCGATAGGAGTGGCCACAGGAGCCGGTGTCACCGCCACCTGAGGTCGCGACTGAGTAGCCGAAGACGCGGGGCTGGGACTGGCATTTTTATTGTTGGTGACGACCACGGCTACCCCCACGATAATGCCAATCACCAGCAGGGCCAAAAAGAGTGCCAACCAGACCATCCAACCTCCGCGACGTCGGATGGTTCCATCTTCATTGGCAACTTCCGAAGTGCCAGTGCCCGCCTGATGAGATGTTTTCATTTCGCTCACGCTGGGCAACGAGTGTCCTTGGTCAAATCCTGGAGCCTGATCGTCGGCACTGAGTCCACTTCCGGCGGAATGAATCATACTGAACATTGGTTCGGGCGGCGGAGGAGCCGCAAGGACGCCATTGGCGCTGCCATTGGCACTACCATTGGCACTACCACGGATGCTGTCACTTCCCATCATCTTCTTCTGGAACACGTAAAATAATCAATAAAATAATAAAATGAGGGTTTCTTCTTTCCTCTTCCTTTTTTCCTGAGTAAGCCACAAATGACAAAACGCCAAGCCTTCCTGAGCTGATTGCCAAGAGGTACCACCAGTTAGTTAGTTTGGAACACAGTTGTTGCTCCTGGTTTTACTCCGTTTGCCTGAATAGCACCACTTCGAAGACTGTAATAATAATAGTCTTGGCCCAAGTAGGATTTCAATTCGCTCGGGTTTTTCTTGTTTGGTTTTGCTGTTGAAGCTAGACTTGGTCAGGCAGCAATCGTGTGAAGGTAATACCACCAACCCCACGGACTGAAATAAATGATCTGGCGGTCAAGGATCGCTCAACGAGTGGAGTATCGACTCGACTCACTCCAAGCAGCCTTAGTCAGATAGAAGAGAACGCTGTATGCTTGGCAAGCAGCTTTCGCAAGAAAGAGGTTTTGGCAATGCTCTTGCTTGAACAAGAAGAATCAGAAGAAAGCTTACACGACCACACCAACCGGTGGCGCCAGAACGCAGGCATGCAATGGCAAAATTTTGCAACGGTTATCAATTTTGACACCCCCAAAGCAATGACAAGCCTTTATCATTGACCCCCATTTTATGTCTCACGCCAAGGATTGCTATCAAGATAACACTCTAGCTAGCTAGTAGCTACGGTAGCTCTATCTGATACCTAGCTCTAGGAAATCATTGGAATTGGACGTGGCTTGCTAGCCACAGACTTTCTCTTTCATCAAGCTATAGAAACACGTTCGTAAAAGCTGGTGCAGGATCCACCGGTACTAGTAGCTACCTTGGTTTTGGCCAATGCCAGTAAAGAGCTTCAGGAAGAGAAGCCAACTATGCTTGTTGCTTGCTCTGAGTTTCCCAGCAGCTCTGTTGCAATTTAACAAAAACTGGTACCATTTCATTCCCACTCTATGACGACACACGACGTTTTGAGAACAGGGAGCAATTCTATGGTGGCTGCACGTGTTGACACCGCGGGACCAGTTGTTCCTGGTACCGGTACATCAGCAGGGCCTCACAGAACTCTACTCGTAGCTACGGTAGCTAGCTAGTAGAGCATAGAAGCGTAGAAGATAGTTTGCCGAAATGGGACGTCGACTAGCTACAGCCAGTAGGTTGGTGGTTACAATGGTGTCCCCTTCCATTTTTGCGCCCATTGGTCACGTGCGCTGTGCCGTAGCTACTCTTGGCTTTCACTCAAGTGCCGCTAGCTACGATGTGGGGACAGAGGACATTAAACGCTTATTGCCGCTACAGCCACAAATCTTCAAACACACCTGTTCAGAAACCAATTGTGATTCAATCGAGTTATTCCACCAGCAACGCCCTGCTGCCAAGCTTCTGGCACTTGGGCGCCATGGTTGGAGCTTCTTTGCCCGACGCGGTGTCACGTCTCCTTCTGTGACGTGATGCAGTTCAAGCTCCAAGTCTTCAAACAAACCAACAAACCTCTGTAATCGAGTTATTTTCCACCAGCAAAGTCCTACCAGGTACCGCCACCTGTCACAAATTTCAGAGACTTGGGCGTCGAGGGCCACAAAAGAAAGCAGCAGGGCTGGTTTACTCGTGAGTGACCCCATCGGGTTAGACACTAATCCAACCCTCACTCATCCGTATCCCAAGATCCCACAACAATCACCACCTGGAAACCAACTTGAGCTCGTTTTGTGCTCATAAATTTGCTTGTTGATGGTTCTAAAGTGCTGGGAGAAGAGCACAAGCTGAGACCAGTACGGTAGGCTCCTAGTAGGAATTTGTTGGCTCAAACATCATGGTAACTTCCGCACCAACAGGGTTGTCCAAGGATCCCCTCATCCCCAAAGACAGCAACAACGCCACCGTCGCCGCGGGTAGCAACAGTGGCCTCGAGGACCCCGTCGAACAGACTTTGGGAGGCAAGACGTACTCCATTGACACGTCTCAGTTGATTATTCGTCGCAATGAAAAGTTCAAAAAGCCTCTCTGGAAAAGTATTCTTAAGTCCGGAGCAATGATCTTGGCCATCCCTGTCATCATTCCAACAGCTGCGCTCTATGTGGCCAGCATGTATTTCGGGCCGTCCTGGTATCGGAACAAGGTCATCGAAGCCACAGTCAGGTGAGTCGGATGGCCATCTCCTAGAATGTACACGCGCCCTCGTCATTCGGCAGCTCACATGACAATGATATGCCGCTCGTCCACAATGACTGGGCAATCACACCAACAGTAATGTTATGAAGAGCGTTGGAGAACTCTTTGATGTCGAACGAAAGGAACTTCTTGAAGAGAATATTGGTCCCAACGATGCTATTTTGGACCTAGGCGCTGGATCAGGCAATTACCTCAAATTTCTCTCTAAAGGTCGACGCCTGGTTGGCATTGAACCTGTCGCAAACTTTCACCAAGGCTACAAGAAGGCAGCCATCGAGGCAGGCTTGAACGAGTCTCAAGTGGAAATGCATGCTTGTGACATTGAAACATATGTTCAAAATTATCCACAAGAAAAGTCTTCCTTTGACTTGGTGGTTTTGGGGAATGTCCTATGTGAGGTATCCGATCAAATGACAACCTTGAGCTGTGTGCACCAACTTTTGAAGCCCGGTGGACATGTCTACTTCTCTGAGCATCTTGGGATGCCCAAAGGAACTTTTGCTCGTCGTGTTCAAGACTTTGTGAATCCGTTGTGGAGGACTGCAGGCGGTGGCTGTAACTGCAACAGAGACAGCCTTTTGAACATTCGTCGCACTCCTGGCTGGCAAGTCATCTCATGGCAATACTATGGTTTCAAGGTCGGCTTGGGTCCCTGGGTCCTCGGCTTGGCCATGAAAGACCACGCTGAGACGAGCAATGATTAAGCAAGAAGTTGTCAACGGAGAACCGCAGCTTTGCTAAATTGTATGAGATACATGTACAGGTGTGGTACTGTTTGCTTTTGTTTTGACACCATGATGATGGGGAGTCGGAGGACATTGCACACCGAAAAGGTGATGGCCCCGACTTGGCCCATGAATCTAGTTGCAAGAACGTATAGACAGCGATGCCATTGATCACTAAATCAACCACCTTGGAGTTGATCAGCTTGCCATCATCGTCATATAGAACTTCCAATAAGGTTGTCTCAGCAATTCCATCGTGATCGTCGTCATCGTCGCCTTCTGGGAACACATTGGAAAAGACATCGAGGCAACCCAAAAGTACCAATTGCAAGCAAGCTCCAATGACGCATAGTTGGAAGAAGAGAGTGAAATTGTCGAGTGCTGGACTTGAGTCTGTTGGCGAATATGACGCGCAGTGCAAACAAACAGTTGCAGAGGAGAACTGATATCAACCCCAGCAACGAATCTTCACCTTCACCTATTGAGGAGCTCGATGCATAGGTGGTCATTGCAGCTCCGATTACCAAAATGGCATGGAGTGGCGTTTGCTCGTTGGGATGAAAAGAAAGACCCCAAAGAAAGGTCGTCACAGGTTCGGTTGTCCTCCGAGTACGTAGTAACTGTTGACACTTGCTGTTGGAAAAGAGATTGGCACGACAATCCAAGCGACTCGGATGTGCTTTTGCAACCAAATGGCTGAGGTGCAACCCTATGTGATCAAGGAAAAAACCAGAGTACTGCTTAGTTGTTTGGGTCTGTGGCTGGTGGAAGTATTGGTCTGCCCAGCATTCACGGCTTCGCAGGTCACATCTTCCGGGTGTCTTCGCTGCTTCAACAAAGGTTTCTCTGTTGCGACGACTTCATCTTCGACAAGGATTGCCGTCAAGTCATTGGTAGAGTCAGATGTGGCATCGTCAGGGCATGCTACCGGTGTTGCCATGGCAGCTACCCAGAAGCCAGCCTTTGCATTATATGGTGCCTGGTGGTACCTGCACTTACGCGGGAGGAAGAGAAGCGAGGATGGACATTGTCAAACAACAGAGGAGCGAGGAGGTTGCAAATGTAGCTTCCCCTTCATGGGAGAAGAATCCCGAGCGTACAGAGAAGAATTCCGAGCGTACAGCGTAGTACCGGTGTGCAGCTTGGTCCTGGACTCGACTCGCTAGATGCTATTTAAAGCCAAATGAGCTGGAGAAGACACGGCTGACATGCATATCAAAGCAAATCTCTCTGGAGTACCATACAGTACCAGCGTGTAGCATAGCTAACTAGCCAGCTTCGAGATCTGGTTGCACTGCAGATCTCTCTAGTGGGACTCGGACTATCTAATCAACACGTTTTGTTTGCAACAGATACAAAGTAATGGACATTTGTTACCTATTTAATTAAGAAATTCTTGTCAGCAAATAGAAGTGCACACAAGCAAAAGTAATATAGAATGGCTTGTCTCATGCTGAGTTGGAGTCCCCCCTGCAAGGCCAGGGCACAGAGTTCACACCCCCAGGCTTTCAAAAAGAAAACAGGAGTAGTCCTAGAATGCTCCAGCTTCAGCAAGCTCCAAATCCTCAGCAGCCATGACATCATAGACACACTGGTCTTTCAAGTCTCCCCAATGCTCACAGACTTTCTCTGCAGCTTCCATGGAAATGGTGGATTCGCCAAGACGGCGACGTCCTTCTCTTTCAGCTCCAGGCATACTACATTGCACTGGGTGCTGGGGGAATCTGTTTGTCTGGAAGAGCTTGGGTTCTGTTTCAAGGACTTGCCATTCATTGCCAAAGGCATCAGGATCAGTCATGACAGTTCCATTTCGAGACATCAACTTGCCAGTTCCAAACTCTCCCAAGAGACCTTGGCTGTCACGGTACTCGTCAAAGCTAGCACCCACAGTCTTGACACTGACCAGGTCCTTGAAAGATTGAATGACAATCTGTTTTCCCTCTCCAAGCTCAATGGTGAAAACATCTTGCTTGGAGTTGACCTTCTCGTGGTGGACAGTGTATCTGTCAAGTTTCTCTGAGTCCAGATCAGCATTGGAGATACCATCCAACATGTAGCCACCATATTCACCAACCTCCAAAACACTTTCTCCAATTTGAACAGCAACAGACTCAATGTAAGAGTACTGGTACCGGGCCTTAGTTCGAATGTGGATTGCCAATCCAGTTCCTTGTCCAAACTTGGGGCTGTTGACAAAAACCAAGTCACACTCTCCATGGAAATCAAACCACTTGCCAGCCCAGGACTTGAAGTGAGGGTCACCAGTGCCAGCACCATCAGTGATTGTTTCACAAGAAGTGAAGATAATAGACCAAGAATTAAGTGTTCCTGTGTCACCACTAGCATCATCATTGATGTCTAGCGTCCAGTAACCCGTTGATTGGTGGCCATTGAAAGTAGATAGAGCCTGCTCTGGTTGAACCTCTAGTCCATCTTGGTTACAAAGGTTATTGGAGCTACCAGCTCCATTGAGACTTTCCGTGGCGGAATCATCAAAAGTAACAACAAGATCATTACTGGACCCACAATCATCATATTGAAGCTTAATCACATCAACAGGGTCATCTGTTGGGTCTGGTCCATCCATGGTGAGATCAATCTCCAAGTCAGAAGTCCAAGTGTGGGTAATGTCCACTGAAATGTCGACATCGCAGATATCAAAGCTGACATCTACAAATATGCTGTCACTAACGCTACCCGAAGTGCCAGATCCTGGGATCGCCAAGTTAGGGGAAGAAGTGTATGTAACAGTAGTCTGAGCCTTGGAAGAAGACAAGCTGCCAAGGAGGGAAACGGCAATGAAAGTGATCATCATGTTGGAAGTTTGGTTTTGTGGGATTATGGATCCTGTTTTGTGAGAGGTTGGAGAGCTGGAATTGTTGCGCCGCCAAAGCCAGAAAAGGTGATGTGTGGCTTGTAAAGACTTCGATCTCCATTTTCAAGAAAGGTACCACGGTATGATACGTACGACTACCGTAGAGTGCGTTTCTGGAAAAAAATTGCACAGCCACAATGCAAAATGACAGGTCCATAAGTAAATGAATTCGCGGTGTGTCTCGAATCTCGAGCGAATGCCAGTACTGTGAGCTGTGAGCACCCTTATTAGACTATATCAATGTGGAAATTGTCATCATTATTTCAGTACATCCGTCCATCGTCACATCGTCACATGAATGTGTTGATCATACGATTGACTAGCTAGTGTACTATCTTTGCACAGCCGCAATGGCGAGTTGATGGTTACTAGTACATGTCTTTGGATCAGCTACATGCTGCAACATGACAACATGACAACATGTACTATTGTTTACTACGAGCACTACTAGCTAGCTAGTACATGTAGGGCCTCTACTCCTGGCTGGGCTGAAGTACTGTCCGGTACACGTAGTATCGCCTTCTGAATTAGACCTAGGCCCAATCCTTGGATGTTTGATCTTTCCCACTCTCAAGGGACAAGGGATCCATGCTGGCCCAATGCACACGCTAGCGTCCCATTTGAACCCTCATCAGGACCAAGACCCGCAGATTGGAGCCATTCAAAAAGATCCTCATACCGTAGGTGCGTGGAAGGTGGAAGGAAGATGGCACATCCCCAATGGCGACATTCAGCGGTACCAGGTGCCAGCATTCGATGAAGTGCCTCTCGTGTGTAACATCCATCCACGACTGTGCGTGCTGGAGTGAACCAATGACGACGTGAGGCAAGGTTGGGTTCGATAATTTTGAATCGAATCGAATCGAATCGAATCGAGTGTGAGTCCTCAGTCGAATCAATCATTCATGCTCTTTAGGGCTAATGTTTAAATAAGGACACGGTTTACACGCGTAACAAGCGTCGGAAGGCCATCAACAAGGCTGATGTCAGGTCATCAGCTCAGCCTCCGATCTTTTTGAGACATCCCACCACCGTCCGTTGGCACCCTCCACTGTGGTAACAAGTTGTATCCTTGATGTTTTCCATTTGTCCAATGGGCTAAAGCAGTACCACTACTACTAGCTAGCCTGAGAAACAGAAAACGCTTGAGTAGCCAGAAAGAAAGTGTACGAGTAGAAGGACGTTTTGCTTGTGATACAGAGGTTCAAGAGTGCACCATGGATAGCTATTTCTTCAATCAGCAGCAGAGTCGACCGAGAGGGAAAGTGGTTCTGTGTCTCTCCATGTTGGCAAGTTGTGCCTTGGCATTTCAACCAGAACTAGTAGCACAACCCCTGCATCCTGGCAGTTCAAGTAAAACAGCTCGTGCAATGGCAGCTATTGATCCAACAGAGGTAGCCAACGCTGTTTCATCAATCCATCATCATACAGCCGATGCATCAACATGGGATGCTTTCCTGTCAACTATGTATTCAGCAACGAACCTTCACCCAGCTCATGGGCATTCCAATCCGCTCTTTGGTCCTCCAGATCCCTACATATCCGCTGGAAAGTCAATCGCACCCAACATTAAAGCCTTCATGACGGACACTACCACTGCTACTGTGCCTGAACAGCTCCCCGAGATTGCCAAGGTAGCAGCCCAAAAAGGAGTCACCATTGTGGATGCATCCAAGTTTCAAGCTGGTGGAGGTGATGTGTTGCCCGGTTTCCACAAGATGGGTGGAGTATTTGGTCGACGTACCGGTGCTGGTGCTCACGGGAATTTGCAGGTGTTCCAGAACCAAGTAGCCAATGCCAGCAAGCTGCAATCGATGTTGAACCATATGATATTCCCAGCGTTTGCCTTTCTGTTTGTAGATTTCCTGTTTTTACGGCCGGATTCGAATGTCTATCAAGAAGATATTGAAGAAGAACCAGTGGATGCCATTGTGGATTCGGTCCAGGCGGCAGGGGTTCGGTTGGGTGTCTTTGTGGCCATGTCATTCTTTGCAACCATGTTTTTCTCTGGTTAGGTAGCTAGTTACAACAACAAAAAGAAGCTAACAGTTCATGTTGTACTAATACTAGCGGTGCTTGGTAGCTGCACCTGTGATGAGATTACTGCAGACTGAGTGGTTCTGCTAGGATGAGATGATGGGTAACGTCACAAAGCAGACTGGTGAAAGGGCCCCAATTTGCTGCTTGATTCCTCTTTCTTGTACCGTAGTCTGATTGCGAACAGCAATTTCGTTAGCTAGCTACTATAGTACTGGTACAGGTACTCAAACTCTAGCAAACCTGCATTACGTGGTAAGCTCTGGATGCCTCCAGTATCGGCCTTGCCCGGAACGCTATCACCGCGCCAGTAAGACGACAGGGTGTACCGGAACGGGCACCGATACTGCCTTTATGGTTCTCTCTAAGGGGTTGAGAAACCTGAAGGATGACTAGCATTCCCCTGTATTCTAGTTCGCAGACAAGTGGCCGCCGCCCTTCATGGGCAAATCCTGATCCCGAAACAACGAACTTGCTGGCTATACAGTTTGATGAGATGATGGTCAAAGCAGGAGGTCGGAGAGTCATCAGCCACCCAAGGTGCAGACACCAGAGCAGGAACAATCCACCAAGACTCTTTTCAATTAAACAGAACAATGTAGATTGTAGATTACGGAGCCAAGAGTGCTACATGTATTGGAACTCAGTCGTTGCCAGTGATCATGGTGCCAGCTACTAAGCTACTAGAGTAGCTGCCGTGGCACTATCAATCTGGCAAGTGCTGTACATGGAGGGATAACCCACACTTGGCACCAGGAACCACTGCCCTGCCAGTGTCTCTACAGCATGGAAGAGGAGGCAGAAGCTTCGAGTTCAGGAAGATTTGAGTCACATCAGGACAGTGAGAGTTTTCCTGAGACCATCATAGCCAAAAAGCCGAAACGAAATACTACTGTAGTCCAAGAGAATGAGTTTCATTGAATGCTATTATTTTTTCCTTCCTATAAAGTAGATTATTGTAGTATGGTGCCCTTCCATGACTCGTCGAGTGTAGTGTTTTGCGAAACAAGTGGCCAAAACCACCACCACCGTTTAATAATAATTGGAGCCGTCTTGATTTTTTTCATGCATGCCAAGAAGGTGACTGATTGACTAGCTAGCTAGACTAGAGGGGCAGATTGTTTTCCAATGCAATGCAACAGCAATATTGTCCAAAGCGGCCAGGCAGAAACGGAGAGAGACCGCAATAATTCCCCATGAGATCGAATCGTTTGTTCGATTACTCTTTTTCTTCTTCCTCTTCCTCCTCGGACTCATAGAGATTAGCGTCGTACTGTAACAATAAAACGAAAGGCAAAAATAAATGAGTCGAGTCCACGAGAGTAACAAAACAAAAGATAGATGTCCAATCACAGTGTCTGATCCGAAGTTCAAACGTACAATATCGCGGAAATACGTCGCGGATTTCTCAGCAATGGCTTTCACAATGGCGGATCGATGCGCGGTGATTCCTATATTTTTGAGGAACCACCAAAACTTTTCGTTGTGTTCCAGTGGCTCGACTTTGTTCCCGTTCTTGTCAGGACCTTTGAGCATCAAGTATTTTCCAAATAATTGGTAAGTGTTGGTAATCTCGTCGGTGCTGGCTGCCAGCTTTTTAATCGCGGCCGGTCCAATGCCCGGCACTTCACTTAAATCTCCCGTAACGGCCTCTTGTCTCCACACGTCCATTGTGTCATCGGACACTTTGGATTTACGCTGGGAGAATCGAATCATAAAAAGACGACGAAAGAGAAGAAAAGAGATGGTGAGCTGGAGCATGCAAAAATCCAAACAGGACTCCACCAAGCACACTAAGCATAGCTAGCTAGGAGACAACAACAACTGACTACTTACAGGATCGTATCCTTCATCAGACATCTTTGTTGTTGGTAAGAAAAGAGACGGGTGGAAAAGCGGCGGACAAGGTCTTTGGCAAAAGTCGATTTGTGCAGATTGTGAGGTGATTGCTCCAAGGTCAAAGCAAACGGACAAATTTTACGCGAAAGGTCCGAGGTTTGAATTGAACTCGACTCGATCGAATCGTGCTTTTAAATGACGCCATTATCATGACTCGACTCAGCGTCACGTGGGAAACTTTCCTTCTCAACGCATCATCGCTTTCTTGATGCCATCCCAACCAGCCATCATAGACTTCGTTTTCTCTATCTCTCCTCTCCGATTGCTGGCGGGGCCAATAGTGGTTAGTTCTATAGGAAGACTTCCAGTTGGCAATTCAATTCATTTCATTTCATTCCATCGTTATCTGGATATCTACGATTGCTGTCAGCCACTCCATAGGATATCGATAGGAAACCATTCTTGACAATAATTTTCCCACAGAACAAACAAGCAGTTGATACCCACCCAATACATAATACATATATTATAACCATGGCATCCTCAGCTCCTCCCTCTCTGGACGGCCGTGCCATGTCGTACATGTTCCTATTGGCGCTCCAATTTGGATTTCAACCGGCATTGACCCGACAATTCACTCCCTCTGGGATCAATCGCTCCACCGTCATTTTGGTCCAAGAAATCATGAAATTTGGATTTGCCGCTTCCATGCTCCGATTGTCGTCGACGCCAGACGAAATTGCCAAACTCTATCAACGATGGAGTCTCGGGGAATGGTTCCAAGTGGCTGCCGTACCGGCGGGATTGTATGCCGTCCAAAATGTCGCCGCCTTGACGGCCTACCAACATTTGGATGCACTCACATTCAATGTCCTCAATCAGACCAAAACACTCAGTGCCGCACTCTGCTGCTATGTCGTCATGGGACGACGGCAGTCCGTGATGCAAGTACTCGCACTATTACTACTGCTAGTCAGTGCCTTGATTATGGAAGGAGTCCTGCCCTTGCCGGGAAGTGATGGTAGTACATCCACATCATCATCATCATCATCCGAAGATGACACCCAATCAAACTGGGACACCCAACATTTGACTTATGGAGTGTTTCCCATTTTACTGGCCAGTTTTATTTCGGGATTGGCAGGAGCATTGTCCCAGAAAAATCTACAATCGGCCGGAGGAGGACGCAATCCCTATCAATTCAGTATGGAACTATGTGCCGCCAGTGCCACCATGTTGGGACTCAAACTGGCCGTCAACTCCATTTCATCGGGCCACAACAACAGCAAATCAGTTATAGGAGGAGGCAGCATGTGGGAGGGATGGACACTGGCCACATTGATCCCCATTGCCACCAATTCCGCCGGGGGAATTGTCGTGGGATTGGTCACCAAATATGCCGGGAGTGTACGGAAAGGATTTGCACTTATTTTTGGAATCTTACTCAGTGGATTGGTACAAGAATTTGTCACCAAGGAGGAAGGAGGAGGATCCGTGCGACCCGAACAAATTGTGGGAGGACTGATAGCCGCCGTCAGTCTTTACCTTCATGCCACCAATCCACCGCGACCGAGTACTAGTAGTAGTCCATCATCATCATCATCTGTGGATGACACGAAAAAGACCAATTAGGCAGGCAGAGCGAGCAGACTGCAACAACTGTCTCTTCCAGATTGAATCAAACGAACAAGTCCTCCCAGTTGCTGTCAACCTCCCATCCAACCATTTTTCAGAAAAGGCAAATCGAGCCCTTTGTGTCTACCGTATTTGCACGGTTTTGTAGTTTCTTCCAAATTGATAGATGCTCGTGTTATTCTTACTCGAGTTAGTGATTGAAGATTCCGTTGCGTACCGCGTACATGACCAATGCCAGTCGAGGAATCGAATTCATGATCAGTTGATAGTCATGTCTCCACACAGCGTGCATTGACATCCTTGTCACTACACGACGACCGAGTGCTAGCTCAAACTTTGCTCTAGTTCAAAGGAGCCGCACCAAGGAGGGATCAAACTGCTTGTCACAAAATAAATGGCAGAAACTAGGATTCGCTTGGTTTGATACTCGTGGAAGGGACCTATCATCCGAGTCAGCAAGTACAAAATGCAAGGGCATTTTATTCATTAAATCACCTTATGATAGTCCTGCTGCCGTGTATCTTGTTGGAACAGGTGGGAGTCGATTCGCCAGTGCCAAATGGAAAAACTGTCATGGGAAGGTTAGTTGTCCATCGGAGGCAAATATTGTCAAGGAGGCTGCAAACCATTTTGGACGTCATCCACATTAATATCTCAAGAAGTAGACTCTATTTTCAGTTTTGCTTTGTCCTTGTTTATTGTTGGTCTCACGTGGAAGAAGAACACACTTCTCCATGAAGCGTCTTGAGTTGGTTGGCCCATTCCTCCCCCGCCAAATCGCAAATGGCCCGGACTCCGTCATCACAGTCTCCCTTGCAAAAGACATCCCTAGTAGTAGCCGAGTTTGACCCCAAAAGCGCTGCTTGAGCAAAGCTTCCCACCAGCTCTCGATTGATCAACAGCCTTGGCACAGTCGGTCTTACCCAGTCGGGAATACTGGCGACGGGTGCCACCAATAGACTGGTCCCCATGACAAGGAGCAAGTCGCAGTCGTCCATATCTTGGTAGACGTAGTCCAAGAAAATGGAGGGAAGCTCCTCTCCAAAAAAGACAATATCCGGCTTGACGTAGGATCCACATTGAGGACAGGTCATGACTTGGCCTTCTTTTTGGTACGTGTCTTGGCAAATTTGGAGATCGGCACTCTGTTGGCATTGAATACACGAACAGGAGGAAAAATGGCCGTGACATTCCACCAGTCGCTCTTGCGAGACGCCTGCCATTTGTTCCAAACCATCAATGTTTTGCGTATAGACTCGCTTCAAGACGTTCTGTTGTTCCAACACTGCCAAAAAGGAATGTGCCAGAGTGGGTTTGGGGCCCTCGTCTTGTCCGGGCCACATGGCTTGTGCGACGTTAACAAAGGGTTGTGGATTCTTGCGAAAGTAGACGAGTTCGAAAATGGCTTCTGGGTACGGCAGCTGTAAGTCTTCCAGCTTGGAATAGAGGCCAGTTCCCGGAGATCGAAAGTCGGGGATACCGGCATTCACCGAGACTCCGGCGCCCAGGACGACCACGACATTTTCGTACTTGTGCTGCGCCAAGCCTTGGGCCAAGCTCTCCAAGCTGGCATGCAATCCCGTGGCATGCGCTTTGGAAAAGGAAGAGCCATCCGCAAGAAAGGCAGACAAGGGAACCAACCACAAAGTCAGTAGTAGTAATGGTGTTGTCAATGGGGCGTTGGTCTTGGGTGTCATGGTCGAAGAAAAGAAATGAGACTGGACAAAAAGATCCAAAGATACAAGCTTGGCGTTACACTCAGTTTTAAGAAGCTAACCTTCGGTGGATCTTTTTAAAAAAAGGGTTCGCGCGTCAGCAATGGCCAATGGCGGCAACAGTGACGAGCTCCCTTGGCTGTTGGAGGTTGGAGGAGAATTACTTTTCCAAAGACAAGAAACTGATTGTTGCATCGTGAAAAAAAATTCTCCTGAGAGTGTGTGACGCCATCTTATACAACACTTCAAAATAGAAGATAATAGTATGGATGCATCAAGAAGCACCTGGTCGGTGGTGGAGGATCCGGATCGTCAAAAGCGATCTTCCGCTCTGGTGATTACCGAGTCTGTGGAGATTCAAGAGACTACTGAGGGCGAATGTCAACCCTTTTTTGTCGACTTGGGTTCCTTACGGAAACACTCTCAAGATCACCTACGAGATACCAGCTTGCTACCCTCGGAGGAAGATGTACACAATCTGGATGTCTGTCTATTACGGGAAAAACACTACAAGTACCTGTCTCGCGTCTTTTTGCCGTCGCAACAACCCTTGAATGGCAACTTGGTCAGTCTGGACTCGGGTCGACCGTGGATGATGTACTGGACTCTCCATGGTTCGGATTTGTTATTGGTATCCTCCCAAGAAGAGAAACACGACAATCCTACTACCGGTGCTACCAATGGAGCCAACACGAGTACAAATTTACTCTGCCAAAAGGTGGGAGATAATGCCTTAACCGCTGTGGTATCCACCATGGAAGCGTGCTGGCAATCCATCGAAATCACATTGCCACAGAAGTTGGATTTGAGCGATCAAGATCGAAATCTTCTCGAACCCAATAACAAGACCAATAATAATGGCAATAATCCACAGTCATTCCAAGGTGGTGGATTTGGAGGTGGTCCTGGTCAAATGGCACACGCTGCCACTACCTATGCTGCTGTCTTGACCTTGTGCATTGTGGCGACGTCAGACGGACAATCATCGTCGCCCATGGCGTGGTCGCTTTTGGCAAGAATAAGAAAGCCTCTGTATGCGTGGTTCTTGTCTCTCCAACAATCTCATGGAGGTTTTCGGATGCATCACGATGGAGAAATTGATGTTCGAGGTGAGTTCATTATTATGACTGACTACCTGTGTCTCCGTGTATGTGATTGAATGTTTATTGGTCTCATGCTTGATTATTTATTTCTTCTGTAATTTTTCTGTTGGAACAGCATCCTATACCATTTTTTGCGTTGCCAAATTGCTCAATTTACTGACTCCAACATTGGCCAGTAACACCACAGTGGATTTTATTGCTTCCTGTCAAACCTACGAAGGGGGGTTCGGAGGAGAACCATTCACTGAAGCCCATGGTGGATATGCCTACTGTGCCGTCGCCGCCTTGCAACTGGTCAACCGACTGGAAAAAATTGATCGGGAAGCACTCACGGGGTGGCTTTGTCGGCGGCAGTTGGGATACGAAGGTGGTTTTTCGGGACGCGCCAATAAACTTGTCGATGGGTGTTATTCCTTTTGGCAGGGGGGTGCCTTGGCCATTGTCAGTGCACACTATGCTGCTGCTGAGGTGGAAGATGAAATGGATGATTTCTGGTTGTCATCTCCACCACTCTCATATGCTCTGCTGTTTGACAAACCAATGCTACAACGGTACATTCTCCTGTGTGCGCAGGATGTCAACGGTGGTCTAAGGGACAAACCTTCCAAATCGAGGGATTTTTATCATTCATGCTACAATCTATCGGGTCTAGCAATGACACAGCACAGTGGTCGCACTGCGGATGATGATATTAATGATGGTGGTGACAAGGCAGCGGACACCAACAATCAGCACCAGACTAATTTTGGCCATCCGGTCAAATCCCTCGTGGCTGCTTCTCACCCATGTTACAACATTCGACTGGAACGAGTATCCAAAGTCCTGGAGTATTTCAAGAGCTAGCTAGCCATAGTAGGATAGTTTTGAGACAAAGAGTCCTAAAAATGTAGCTGTTTTCAGGTTCCAAAGCATTGCTGGGACTGCCCCGTGCCATTCCTTTCTTGGCAGCAAGGCTTTTGGCCAACTTGGCATGTTTCTCAGTTTTAAGAAATTAACCTTTGCTGGATCTTTTAGGGTTCGCACGTCAGCGTGCTTGTGTCAAGACCCAAGCAAGATCCTTGTCGTTTGATCGCTTGAAGCAAGATGAAAAGGAAGAGAAAGCCTTCGATCATCCTCACTTCACCCCGACACCAAGAATAGACCTAGATCTAATCATCATCGGTATTATTAATACTGCAGCTGTGCAATTAACTTAATCAAATCAAACCAAGCCACAAGGATAATCAATCACCATGTCTGGAGTCCCCACGTTATTCGCCAAAGCTTGTGTGAAAAAGCCGAGCATCAAGATTCCACCCAAGGAAGAAGTATCCTTGTTGCTGCAGAAGCGGCTGAGTATCCAGAAGAAGCCAGAGCAACAAGACGATCCTATTCCAGCACCCATTCCACCTCGACCCGCCAAGCCGGTGATGGAACCAACAAAGCCAGAGGAAGAGGAGGAATACATTGAGGAAGTGATTGAGGATGAAGTGGTAGAAGAAGAAGAAGAAGAAGAGTATATCGAAGAAGAAGTGATTGAAGATACTCCTCCACCTCCTGCTGAGGTTGCAGCTGCTGTCGAAACATCCAAACCAGCCGATGCTTCTGCTGCCACATCATCCAAAACAACACCAGACACAACAAACCTTCAATACGATCCCACGGCCGTCGTCTCGGCGGAAAAGAATATTTCCGTGTTGGAAGCCGAACAAGAAGCCAGAGATCGCATGGAAGAATACCGTCGCAAACGAGAGGCACGCATGGCCGAAGCCGAGCGCAAAAAGGCCGAACGACGAGCCCAATGGGAAGAAGAAATGGCCGAAAATGAAGGCATTGTCACGTCCAAGAAAATGGAACTGACCGCGGCGCAAATGGAAGAACTCGATCGCATCAAATCGCTGGAATTGCGGATGCAAGAAGCCGAAGGTGCCGCTTTGGAAGACTTGAAACGACAACAAATTGAAGCCAAGGACCACTATCTCGAACAACGATTTGCGCATTCCGAAAAAGTATATGAAGCCGAAGAACGCGCGTTGCGAGAAGAGCGAGAAGCCAAGGAAGCCGCCAAACAAAAGGCTGCGGCTGACAAAAAGGCCAAAAAGGCAGAAGAGAAACGCAAAAAAGAAGAATACGAAAAACGCAAAGCCGAACGAGCCGCGGCCAAAGCAGCGCAACAAGCATCGTAAGATAAACGGTTGATGGACAGCATGATGTAACTTATTGGTTGTGGTGGGGAGGAAACATTGGCCGTGCCCTCCCTCATTGGAACCGTACCGTATCCTTGTGTGGTGTAATTTTACTGTGCCGGTAACTTTCAAGAGCTCTCTCAATTGAAATATATCGTTGCCCTTCAACATCACTAGAACTGTACCGGTTTCGGTTTCTCCGGTCAGCGGCGAAGTTGATTGGTTGTCAGCATCTATCTACTTATTACTACACATCGTACAATGTAGCTAGAGGACCAGCTTCCTCGGAGGTGCGCGCTGACAGAGCTCTTTTCCATTGTCGAGAGAACAGCACTGCTCTTTGAATGCTCCAGCTTTAGCAAGGTCCAAGTCTCCAGCGGCCAAGAACATGATGCGGATACGGTGTGGAAGGGAAGTGGATTTGATCAGACCTTTGATATATTACTGCAGCTCTACTAGCTAGCTAGCTACCACGTGCCACGTGCGAAGTTCCGGTTCGGTCCCGTTTCAAGGTCGACTGAAAGACTGCTTTTACAAGAAGCAAGAAGCAAGGGAACCCAAACTACGATGGAACGCCGTAAAAACAGAAGCCGCTTGTCTGGATATCGATATATTCGACTTTATGGGGGGGTTAGGCAGCAGCGCGGGGGAGGGAAAAGAAGAAGAAGAGGGAGAGGGTTAGTGACTGAGGTTCCGGATTCCCACTTGAAGAGCAGGCAGGGCAAAGATCGAGTCATTTCGATCAAATCGGACACACATAAAAGCACGAAAGAGAGGGGAAAAGGCAATGACTATGGTCTTCGCCCCTGACTCCTAACTCTCATGTGTCGGAAGAACAAGTAAATACGTCAGGAAGTAGAGGTTCGTTGTTCGTTTATCAAATTCAAATTGATCAACGGATAGGCTGACTGGCTCTTTTTCTCTCTTTTTCCATCCTTCGCTTGCACCAGACCTTCCCATTATTTTCGAAAATCCACCGAAACCTGTTGCTGGTGAGTGTTGTCGGTGTTGTTGTTGTTGTTTGTTGCTGTTGTTGTTGTTGTTGTTGCTAGCCACAATGGCGACCATGGCATGCTACTAATCGTTCTATCGTCCCCCGTTCGAACAGACACTCCTTCCTCTACCGACACCGTGACTCCTTCCTCTACGGACGATCCTTCCTCTACCGACCTTCTTCCTCTACCGACGCTCTTCCTCTACCGACGCCGCTTCCTCTACCGATACCGACTATTTTGTCTTGAAGTCAGCGACTACGTGGGTAGGGGCAAGACTCTTGGCAACAACACTACATTACCTACTACCTACACCCCTACGACGATCCTACCTTGAATCCTCCTCTACCGATCTGATCGCTCCCACGACAATGAGGATCGCAATTACACCGGTCTTCTCACAGTGGCTGCTTAGTGTTAACAGATACCCATACAATGAGTTGAGAGCCACAAGGAATGGATTCACCTGTCAGTATGTGATTTGGAGAAGGCCTTGGCAATGTGTGCGTGCAGACAACTACAATATGCCTATTCTCGAGCAGATTATCATGGATGGACTATGCAAGCCTCTGCCTCCCAACATGACAAGCATCATTGATTACATGTTGGAATTGGGACTTGAGCAGTATCCAGTATGGTACAAGTTTGTTGTCTACAACCTTCACAAAATGCTGGAGGGACCAGATCCTCCCCGTGACCTGAAGCTTTTGGTTGTGATGAGTGAGAATTTTGCTGACAATCTTCGAGAATGGAGACAGAGAAACAACCAGCCATGAATTTCATTGTAAGTTATGGTGTTATTAGAAATGAAAGTTATGTATCTCAATCTTTGTTGTTGCTACCAGCAGAATATCCATTCCATCTAGCTTGGCAAGATCTATCATGTGGTGGTCTTCCTCTCCTGTGTGTCAACCAATGGCAGTATTTGTGACAGCAACCATTCGGTGGAGGTTGCTGGAAAGGAGCTGGCAGTATTGGTTGGAATTGCGCTGCATGCATTGCATCATTTGAATCTGGTGTTGTTGCTGATATAGAATCAGGTTACCAATGTAAGAATTTTCTTGTTTGTGCTACAGGAGGAGCTGTTTGTGGTGGTGGAGGTTGGAGCTGTGGAACTGGTTGTGGTTGTGGAACCGGTTGTGTGGTTGTGGAACCGGTTGTGGTTGTGGTTGGAACCGGTTGTGGTTGTGGAACCGTTGTGGTGGTGGACTGGTTGTGGTTGTGAAGCTTCAACTGGACTGGTGCAAATGTACACAAGCAACAATCATTTGGTGGTACTTCTGCCTGTGAGGTTGAATCCAACAATGAAGTCTGAAAAGAATCGCTCTCCAGTGTCCTTTGGCAATGGCTCTGCATTTGGAAATGGCTTGTCTAGACCAACAGCCTCTGCCATGTCATTCAGGTAAGCCAACTCTGAATGGTTCCAGTAAGGAACAACCTTCTCCATCCAGCTGGAATTGACTCCTTTCTCACACTGATTCTTGACAGGAAGGCTCTCTGTGGCGAATCTTGAGGTTGTATCTAGCAGTGCCAGCAAGGTTGAGTGCATCAGCAAGGCTCCTCCTCATTCCACCATTGCAAAAGTGGGCAAACTTGTCATGGAAAGCCTCTAACTTTGACTCTCCTCTCCTTGATAGTATCTGGAGATTGTGCTTGGAGTTTGGGAAGGTTGGATTGTGTCATACATGTCTCCAGTGCCAGGGGATCAGCCAAGTGAGCAGCTTTCTCCACCAGTTCTCTACAGCTGGCTTGGTATAAGAAGTGAACAAGGTATAGTTCTTGGCTGGATCGAGTCGGCCCTGTCCTGGTTGGCTACCATCACTGGCGTACCTTGTACTCTGCAGAACCACTGCTGCACTTGCCTCATTGTCTCTGGTTCTCTCATCTCTTCCTAGATACTTGGAGTACTAGCCTTGAAGACCTTGGAGGCTTGCATATCTGAGATCTCGCCATGGAGTAGTGCTTGCATTGGAGGACAAGAGGCCATGTTTCAATGCATGGAGGACTTCTCATAGTCATCTGGTGAGTACTCATAGAGCAGTCAAGAGGTCTCCATTGCTTGAAAGTAAACAATGTGACCCTTCCTCAAAGTTGACAGAATCCTTTTCTCATAATGGAACAGGCCAAGTCTTCCCTCGATTCTGGAAAGAGTATCTCCAATAGTCATCCTTGTGGGGCAGGTGTCGCTGTACATGGCAGCTGGATTGAAGTTGCTCCTCCTTGCTAGCTGCATGGCTGCATGGGAAAGTGGATGGTCTTGGTGGTGGGAACCAGAACTGCAGACGCAATCTCTCCAGTGTCAGTAGCAGCATCCCAAACAGCAGCAGCACCAGACTCCTGCTGTAGTTCTGATCACCTGGAAGTTGGTCTTTGCAGAAGATTCCTTTGTTGCATTTGACACTTTGGATCTCTTTGTGTGCCTTTGGTTGTCACTGATCCTCATGGATTCCTGTTTGAAGCACAAGCAGCATCATAGATGTCACGATGGTGTCACCAAGAGGAGGAAACGGTCTGATGTAAGTGCCATCTTTTGAAGAAAGGGATCAGATCAGTGTCGCTTCCTCCCAATGGGAGAGTATGACATCATGGCTCTAAGATACTCTCTGTTGTTTGCATTGTAGATGAGGCGGCTGCATAGGTCTCCATTTCCATAGGTTAACATGATAGAATCGAATATTCTGTTGCTGTTCGCTCCAAGTGACAAGCCTTGTTAGGTAGAGCAAACTTGGACTCCACTGGATAGAGCAATGAAACATGGTCTGGGATCGAGACCAGCCTTCTGCAGAGTTTGGCATCGAATCTTCTGTTGAGCTTCCACAAACCATGGACATGATATACACAAGAAGGAGGACCAGTGATGCCAAAGATAGGGAACAAGTCTTGTTGTGTGACCAGTTTGTCCTTGTATTCTTGAGTTTGCCAGAGCATCTTCCATCGGGACAAGGAACTGTAATTCACATCGATTCCAGTCCACTAGAAGGAGTTTCTGCCCAACAATGGAGTGGTAGTGAGGAGACTCGAATTGCTCCTCTGTGGGGGGAACTGTCATGGTGAGTCCTTGGAAGGTTTGTGGAAGAGTTCTGGATCTTTGCCCTGGTAATGGTTCTGACACTGCTTCTGCAATTGCTAGCATGCCAGTGGTGCTCCTTTCTCTTGTGCTTTTCCACAAAGGAGTATCATTAACAAGAGTGGTTACCTTTTACAAAGAGCTTGGAGTGGCATTGTTGCTGTTTTTTGCTGTTGCCGGCTCTCTTTGGTTTGGCTGTGTTGGTTCTAGCAGCAAAGAATGCTTCTCCATTTTCTCTTGTGAATGCCTCCAGCTTCCTCTCCATTCAGTGGAAGAGGAGCACTGAATTGTCTGGTGAGTTTTCTGCTTTCTTTGATTGTTTCCATTGTCAGCGCATTCAAGGTCCTTGTCCTTTTGTTATTGTATTCTTAATACAGAAGAAGAGTGTGATCTCTTGGGGACTCTGAGACCAAGATGTCTGGCCTTACAGATGACACAGTTCTTGAGTGGATCAAGACTTCTGCTACCACTCCTCCCAGTGTTGTTTGCGGTCCTTCTTCTCTGGCTCTCTTGGATCTGTTGTTGTTGTTGGGGCGTGATATGCTCTCTTCTTTGCGAGTTCCTCTGTTGACTTTGGCAGCCCATTCCTCCATTGTGAGTGGTAGCTGCTGTTGTTGCTGCTGTCTGCTGTTGCTGCTGCTGCTGCTGTTCGTCATGATGGTGCTTTTGGCTGAGATAATGACTGTCGAGTGGCTCTCCGGTGGTTGGTTGAGTGAGCGGCAGGATGTCATTGTCGCGATCGGAAGAGGAATCCTTCTTTCGCGAAAACAGAAACACGAAATTTCGAACTTTATAGCATTAGCACACTGTATCCGTAATAACTATAAATGGTACGTTAATTGATTTAAATCTTATTCCATAAATATTGCTGACATATACATGTTCTTCAGAACTCGTTAGCCAATCAGATCACTGCCTTCTACCGCTTTCACCCTCGCCTCATATTCGATGTGTATGCAGATGGATTTATTAGATGGATGGGGGATGTGGCCCAAAGCTGAAACTACGTCTGAATGTTGTGCCTCAGTCGTGATACCGGTTATCTGTTTCGTGAAGGTGATTGCGATGAGGCCTTGACTCCATGTCTCACAATAAACAACGCAAACGAAACAAAGAAACAAAGAAAAGATACTACTAGTATCTTTTAATAGAAAAGAATCGAGACCATGTCGACATTTGAATGGCGACCCAACAACGGCAGCGATGCCGTCCAGGAGACGACGACGGAGTTTGATACTCTAGAAGGTTGTTTGTTTGCTTGCTCTGGAAAACAGACCACGATGAACCCCTCCTTGACCATGATACCACCCACGCCCATTGCGGCCGAAAGCTTCAACAACGGCGTCCAGCCCACAGCTGGTGATGACCTGTCTCCTCCCAACGCTGTTGATGCCAGCAAAATGAATGGGATTGCCGTCCCTGTGTCTGCCACTGCCGGCTGGTCCCAATCTCCTCCAAAGACTGAAGGTGTCTACCCCAGTTGTGTCTCCTATGACTTGCGTCTTTTGCACGATGATTCTCTCGAATTGGCAGTCTCTCTGGAGTACACCAATCCTCGTCCCAAAGAATCCATGATGGTCAACGTGGCCGTGGCCAAGACTTTGGTCAACGCCGAAATGGGAACAGAATTGGCATTGGTCGCCACGCAGTTTCAAGAATTTGTACAAGATAAGTGGATCGATATCACGGCCGACGTCGACTACACCCAGACTGCCAATGCTGTCGTGGATGCTGTCCTGAGCGATCCCAATGCGGGACAAACGGCTGGAAAGGCCACCGTGACGGCCAAGACGGTGGAATTGACTTTGGGGCCCTTTGTCGCCAAGGCGCGCCTCAATCTCATCTTTCAAGCCGACCAATTGTACACGTACGAGGCCATGAGCGTCCGAGACGACGCCGCGGATATCGGAACCCATCGATTGCTGCCGCTCTGGGTGACATTGCCATTTGCTCCCGTCCATCACGAAGCTGGATTGTCCAATCTGGCAGTGCGCCTGCAGGCGCCTCCGGGCACATCGGTCTTGCCCATGGAAGAATTCCGCGAAGCCTACCAGGATCTCAAACAGCAAGAGATTATGGAGGCCATCACGGTCCTGGCAGTGTCGGATCTATCACCGCAACCCATCCAGAGGACTGTGGGATTTCAGTTCCGATGGGAGAGTCTTCCGTTCCGGTCGACTGGAATCTTGGCGTGGTTGGCACTGCCCAATCCAGTGGAAGATCCCTTTGATTTTGTCCACATTGGACGCAGTTTGGCAGAAATGACAGCAGAAATGACAGCCGAGTCGCACAACAAGAACAACCTCAGAAAGGAACAAACGCAAGCAAGGATTCAAGTGCCTACAGCAGAGGACGTCTCCTCTCTTCAAGTGCCGCTTCCTGGACACGGTCCCATGGGGAGTTTGTATCGTGTCAAGGTCAAAATGCCACAGGCACAACCAAGACAGCAGCCTCTCTTTATTTTGAATCTGACGCTCTCGGACCGCTCCGGGTCCACTTCGATGCGGGTTCGAAGCAGCGACGGCGCCTCGTCGGCTGTGACCATGCGGCAACGATTCAATGAGCTGGCCGAAGTACGCTTCTTGAAACGTCTCGAGTCCATCCCTGCGTTGGTGCAGGCTGGTGTATTGCAAATGGATGATGTCTGGATGGATGCCTTTTTGGCGTTTGATAGTGCCGCTCCCGCATCGTCCATTCATCGCGTCGTGATCCGTGTCCGCAATGTCCATGACCACATTGTCGAAGTGGTCCAAGCTATTCGCGACAACAACACCGCGGTGGCAACCAATAAACTGCCCATGATCTTCCGTCATGTCCAGGCGCTGCGTGGGATCAGACCGGGCGGTGCCACCGATTTCTCCGTGGGGCCAAGGACACTGATTCACTCGTATGCTCAGTGGAAGAAGGAAGCGCAATCGTTGTTGCCTGCTGGTAGTGGAGAGACAAAGCCTTGTACCTTTGTCGAGTTTGACACTGACGGGGGCCACAACGGAGCCCCCGGTTATCTGGACATCATTCGCAGCTTTTGCAAGGCCTACGACGTCAGGGATGGGGTTGTGACTGGGTTTGGTTCCTGGCTCAACCAGGACTGTGCCAGCAAAGTAGCCAAGGTGTTGGGCTCGTTGCCCGCACTGCTGTCGCTACAGGTGCCCCAGACCGGTTCCGAAGGCTTGGACAAGGTATTCCGGACTGGCTTTTCTGCGTGGATTGGGGCGCTGCGGCGTCCTCCAGCTTTGACCTTGAAAGTCTCTGCGGGATGTGTTTCGTTCGCGTCGGGTGCTTCCTCTCGCAATGCCAATGCCGTGGAGTTGTTGGCGGTGAGACGAGTCGGTGAGCGCTTCCAGCCAATGGTCGCCTTCGGACCTCCCGATGTGTCGGACGAGACTTTCACCAAGGCTGTCGTCACAAATGTGCCGGCGGGGGAGGAGCTGCTCTTGTACTTGGTGTCTCGGCTTGATGGCCCGGCGGAGCTGGCGCAGCGATTGGAGATCCTGTCCGGCGTCGAAGGCGCCCCTTCCGACGCAAGAACCAAAGGACAAGTTGAGAACGAGGAAGAGGCAAAGAGAAACAGTTTTCTCGCGTATGATTGGCTAAAGATGCTGACAACTCTGCCGGGGAAGGTAGACACCCTGCAGCACGCACCGCTCATGTCGACAAGCCTTGCTTCTCGATTGGAAGATGAAATGTCGTTCCGCTTCAACATTGCCTCTCCTTCGGGGAAAACGTCGTTCCTGGGAAGGTGCAAGACCGTGGCAAACAGGGCGCCGATTGACGCGGCCCACCAACCAGGCAAGCCCTCCTGCCCTCTTACTGTGGAAGCCCCTGCATCGGGGCCAAAGCGTCATCGCCACAATGGCCCGCTTCTGAAGGGCCGTAATCGGGGACGTGCGGGAGGACGTGCGGGGGGCAGAGGAGGAGGAGGCGGGAGAACCTCAGGCCCACCACCTCCGCCTGGTACGCTCTATGCCTCGCGCGGGCCTCCAATGCCTCTAGCCGCGGCGCCTGCATTCCGATCTTCCGCTGCACCGCAGCCGCCTGCAGGTACGACGGCTTTTGGAGCGCCGGCGGCATTTTCATCTTCGGCTCCGTCTCGGCCTGATGGTTTTCACTCTTCTGCGTCCGATGCTGGGTTGCAGATGAAGTATTCTGCTTCTGTGGGCCCGTTCGCCAACCACCGGGTTAGCCTCACCATGGACGATGACGTGGGAGAGGAAACGACTCGCCGCGTTGGCGTCTTAGCGAGTTTCCCGCCCAGCAACATATCCTTTCAACCACCTCCGATGACGGGGGCGATGGCCCCGCTGGCCGCATCGGCTTCCATGGCGAGCTCGTCGGCGAGAAGCTCGCGGAGGCACAAGTGTTTGGCGAACTCGACGGAGCGACGGAGGAGGGCATCAGTGACAATGCCTTCGGCCTGCAATGCAACCCAGCCAACCCCGCCACAAAAACCGAAAGAACCTTCGTGGATGGACGCCTTGGCTGTGCCTGTCGGTTCCAGCAAACCACTGACAAATCAAGGCTACGATGAATTGTTGCAAGCCATGAACGAGGTTGTTCACGCTCGCCGGCGACTGGATTTGGATCCAAGAGTTAACTTTGTGTGTGACATTTGCACCCGCCAGTTTGCGCCCGGCCAGGCACGTTATCATTGCTATGATTGCCAAGACTTGGATGCTTGCGCGAACTGTCGTGGCCGTCATAATATGGCCTTCCACAGAATGGCGTTGATAAACCCGTCAGCCACCCCAAGCAGCACGGTTTCGTCGGAAGACCCGTTGGTGGGCAGTTTGTTGGGGTCGAATCCCGCAGCCTCCGCGTCTGATTTGCTGGCTCAACCTCTCGAGGTGGATCAGACCGTGGAATGGAGCAAGCGCCGGGTTGCCAGGTTTCTTCTGGCGGTTCTGCATTGGTGGCCTGTATTCCGTGCGAGCTGCGTTTTTCGTGAAAAGCTTCCCGCTGGTCTCAATGCGGAAATGGCTCAGAGGATTACCGACTGCTTCAATAGCGAAGATATCCAGGGACAGATGGACACACTCACCGTCATCGTGGATTCCTTGATGCGAGAAGAAAAGACCCACGTCCAGTCGTTGTCCTCCTGGCTGGATGGAGACCAAGGAAGTGTTCTTTCGCCAAATGATGACTCTTTCCGATCTGGGGACAGAAGCTACTTTTCTGGATCTCAGTCTCAGTACTCTCAGGGTGGCTCAATCGAGTCTGGCTCTGTGGGCAGTCGCAGCCATTTGTCAGGCAGTGACAGGGGTGCTTCCCCGGCTTAGACTTTGATGCTTCTGCCTCCCCTTTGCCGATTCGGCCAGAGGGCTCCTGCCACCGGCGCATACTACGTGTACTAAGGCTAACGAGGGAGAAACCATACTGCAATAAAGCCTAAACACAATTACATATATAAGTTACCAGCATTCCAGCAATTTTCCACTTCCACCACAAACCTCCATTCTCCAGAAAAGCACCTTCATCTGCCTGGTTCCGCTCTTGTACATCCTTGAGATCGAGCTCCTGAAGCAAGCAAGTTGCGCTCGACTTCGCCTCAGCAAGCTGTGAAGGATCCCAACACATGTTTGTGTGTACCTGGAGGAGGGTTTTCTGGCTTCTTTTACCAGATTGGATGCGGACTGGGAACATCTCACAGTTTGAGATGGTGGAGGGGTTTGTAGACTATCTGATATCCAAAGGACGTTAACGTTCTTTGATTGATGCAGCTTTGGCCAAGATGCACATCATCACAACTGCTGTGTTGCCTGCAGAAGGTTGGCTGTCACCACCCAAGCTAGAAACTGTTGTAAGGACGCCCCAATCTCTTGGAGAGCTCAGGGAGATGCTGCTGCAGACCACATGGATCCCAGGAGCTTCACTGGAAATGGTTGGGTATCTAATGATCATCATCTGGATGGTGGTCTCACAACATTCAGCCATCCTGCTTGTTCAAAGTGCCGTGGAATCCCCCCAATTCACTTGGACCTGGGAAAGCCTAGAATTCTATTCTCTTTGGTGTGAACATGAGCAAAGAGCAAGCTGAACGTTTCTGGTCCGCAGGAGTCAACCGGGGCCTCCAGGTGGCAGGCAGGCCACAAGGTTGGATAGCAGAACTAACTACTATGGAGTATTGGCAGTACGGAAAATAGATAACTACATACACCTAGATAGACAAGACGAGAGAAAGTCAAGTTCCCCTGCTATAGCTAGCTAGACTTCTACAAGGAAGGAATTGCAGGTGATCTCAGATCTCAGGTGGAACAGCCAAGGGGGTGACGAGATTTGTGCGCGCTACCGGTATAAGAGAGATTGCAGGTATGCATAGTCATTCATGATGAGGTCTATATTGAATATCTACGCGAAAGAGACAACAAAAGAGCAGCAGATTGGCCAGGATCGTCAGAGCCACAAGGATGCCACAATCGATTGCACCGTGGCGGTTGTCATCATTGGAGGTAGTGTAGTACTGGTGGGCCAAGACCCAAAAGGAGGAGATGATTGCAAAGAAAAAAGTCATGACTTTGGCGCATTCTTCCAAGTCGTTGTTCTTTTGTTGTTGGACATGGAAAGGATCATCTTCGGTAGTAGACTGGCAAAACTCTAGGATCATGGCATCAATATCGGGATGATGTTGCAGCGAGCTACAGTTGCTCTCGGGGTAGACGCAGCGACATTCGTAGACGACGCCACCCTCTTTGGTCATGGCAAAATGCGATTGAACGAAATCACGAAGGATAACATTTTCTTCCCGGCGGCGACGATTGATAGAACTCAACCAAGCGAACATTGTTGTTGCTGTCTTGGTAAAAGGTCGTTGTCTTGGTTGTTGTTGTGTGCTCTTCCTTACCTTCACTTTCCCCCTTCCCCAACAGCAGATTTAGATTGTTTCGTGGGTTCTTCTAGATTGGCTCAGTCGTGGGCTTTTGTATCTTTTAGTCGAATGAGTCGTTTGATGCTTTCTTGGGTACGACTGTAAAGCCACTGTGCGTCTTTACTGACGGTTCTGGTTGACGTCCCTTCCCAAGTTCTTTCACTCTCGTCACGCTGCTGCCATAGCAATACGTCTGTGGTGTCTCCTATTGTCACAAAAGTTGTTGAGGTTGTTGAATGATATCTATTGCTGAGTTCAGTGTTTCTAGGCTCTGCCTGGCTGTCTAAGGTATAGCTAGAATAGCAGACAGGAAAAGATAGCTGAGAAAGAGAGAAAAGGAGAGCTTTCTGGTCCTTCCCTTTTCTTCTTTGATTATTGTTTGTGCTTTGGAGTTTTGTTTGTTGAGTTGTGTTTTGAGCTCTTTGTCAGTCGATCCGATTGACAGAGATAGATACCGTCGGTAGGAGTGCTCAGCAATGGATCACAGCCATGATGACGAGGGTATATGGGATGGTAAGTTAGTCTTAGCGTACCAATCTGATGGTATAGACATTTATGCGTATACCCTTTTGATTGGAAGTCGTCTATCTATCTACCTATCTGTTTTAAAGTGTCCACTCTCATTATTTCATCTCATTTCATCTCATCTCATTTCAATTCATCTCATTTCATGCAGAATTAAATGACCAACAACACCGAGAAATTGAACAACATCATCATTACCGTCGGGCACAAACATCCACCAACTGGAGGATACCCCTGGGAAATGCTCTTCGTGAAACGGCACAACAAGTCACCAACGCTGTCGTCTTGGGGATTGGAGGGAACCCGCAACAACAATCTCATCGCTATGAATCCTTATCCTCCCTCTTGCCCCCGCAATCGGAGGCTATTGACAACGATTTGGGCATGAACTTGTTTGGATCTCGCCAGCAACAGCAGCAACAACAGCAACTACTACCACAGCGAACCGAACCATTGATACAACCCAATCAGAATCATCCTTCGCATGCCACGGCACGATTTCAGGAACATCAACCAGTCGATCACAATCATAATAACAACAACAATATGCAGCAGCAACAGCAACAACAGAATAATGCCTATGTCTTTCTACAACCCTTCCGCCTGTTGCCACAACGAGATGGATGGGGGGCTGTGGCAGATTTGGATGTTTTCTTCACATCACTCTATCAGTACTATTATCATCGAGGATTCACTACATTGGCATTAAAAGGACTCGTCGAATTGATCACTCTATTCTTCACACTCGGTCTTTCCATTTTCCTTTTTGCCGCCATTGATTGGTCCGCACTGTCCGATTGTACCGAAGAAACAACCTGCCACGACAATTTCTCATCCTACATTGTACCCTTTTCAGCGTCCGGTAGTTGGATGTGGAAGGGATGGGTCTTTTTATATGCCACAATATTCTTTTGTTATGGAAGTTTCTCCGTATGGTCTTGGTGGCATGCCCTGCAACAAGCACGCACGTCCAAGTGGTTCATGGAAGAACAATTGGGAATTGGGGAACGCAAACTTCAATCGGGGGCCGTAGATTGGGATCGCGACGTGGTGGCCAAAATACAACAATTGCAAACCACGGGACAGTACCGCATTGCCATTCATGGACAAGCCGATGAAACACTCGATGCACTCCTCGTGGCACAACGCATCATGCGCAAAGACAATTTCATGGTGGCTATTTTCAACAATCCGGCATTGCTCGATTGGACCGTCCCGTTGGCTCCTGCTGGAGGAGATGGAGCAGTCTTCTTTTCCAAGAGTTTGGAGGTAAGTACTTAAATGAATGGATGAATGACTTGACAGGGGAAGCAAACAATCGACAACCTAGTTGTGAGGGACGACCTGATTCGATTCACTGACGTTTGGATTGTTTCCTTTTTGCTTCCCAGTGGACAGTCTACTTTTGTATCCTGAACTTTATGTTCAATCACAAATACCAACTACGGCCCGCCTTTTATCTCGATTCCAACTCTCTCAAACGACGGTTCTTCCTGTGCGGGATTGCCCATTTGCTCTTTATGCCATTTCTACTTTTCTTTATGACATTGTACTTCTCACTACAAAATGCATACGATTGGAAGTCCACACAAAACTATCTGGGACCACGAGAATGGTCTCTAGCTGCCAAATGGACCTTGAGAGAGTTTAATGAATTGCCGCACTTGTTTGAACAGCGATTGGAACCTTCCTATGATGCCGCAGAGGCATACCTCAAACTTTTTCGGCAACATGAAATCATCACGGCCGTGGGACGCATCATGGTCTTTATTGGAGGGTCTCTGGGAGCTGTTCTCTTTGCATTTGCTGCCATGAATGATGCCATCCTCCTACACGTAAAGATTGCCGATTGGAATCTACTATGGTATGCCGGAGTCGTGGCGGCCATTTATTCGGCTGGGAAAGCCATGCTTCCATCTCAAGAAAAGGAGAACCACAAGCGGACTTATCATACCAACCTGTCGCAAGAAATGGACTTGGCATTGGAAGAGGTAGCAAAGCATACACATCACTACCCGGATTTATGGAAGGGCAGAGGTTGGGATAAAACTACAACCTACAAAGCCTTTACCAAAATGTACCAGTACAAAGCCAAGCTGTTTGTCCAGGAATTGGTCTCCATTATTGTCGCTCCCTACATCCTCTGCGTATCGCTGCCTCGCTGTGCCGAACGGGTCTGCGAATTCATCTTGGCCATTCGAGCCGAAGTGCCTGGTGCAGGAGACATGTGCGGATACAGCACATTTGATTTTGATACTTACGGGGACGATCTTTGGGAGGGCAAAACGTTTGGAGTTGGTGGTGTTGGTGTACAACAGCAATCACCGACCGATCCGCACCGACCAGGCTTGCCACCGGTTGTCACAGGAAGCCTTACCGAGTCCATTATGCAATCCGGAACTGTGGAAGCCACGCAGCAATTTCCAATACCCAGAGCCAAGGAAGGGAAAATGGAAAAGAGTTTTTTCAGTTTCAAGGCCGCACACCCCAGCTGGAAATGTCCAGAATCAGGCCAAGACCTAGTGGAGCGACTGGAGGAGTACCAAGAAGAGGAGTCTGCTGCTCTTGCTCGAGAACGACAACTACATATTGAAGCAGCAGCACGTCAGCTGGAGACCTTGGCTCAGCTTGAGAGACAGAGAAACCAGAGACTCAACGAAAGGCCTACGGTTGTGGACACCAGCGGAATGAACGACGCCTACATTGGCGCCAACCCACCAACAGCAGCGGACGCGGGAGCAGGCTTGCAGATTCCACAACAGCGTCAGCAGCTTTCTCCTGTTGCGGAACATCAGGCATTGGGCATGCCATTGCCAGGCCCTGCAAACGTACCGGCTCACACGTTGGACCAGAGCCATAATATGAGCATGTCGTCGTCTTCTCCTCGCCGCGACGCTTCGCAACACGAACACCGAGAAGAACCTCAACCGGCTCCTCCATTTGCCGCCCCAGCATCTCTCCCAGCAGGAACAGCTTCGAGATTGAACCGCCATCCCACCCTCGCTTCATCTTCTCCCAACAACTTGGCTCCTCCTCCGTCGATTTTCCCGCCACCTACACCCGGTCCACCCCCGACAGCAACTTCAAGCCAGTCGACGAACGAGGTCGGAGCACACCGTCAAGCAGTGGGCGCAGGCACAATCGGGAGTCTGGCTTTGTCGACCGAGTTGCATCGACTCCTAAGCATGTCGACACTCGATCCCGACGTTGGAAGTGTCCTTGCGGAGCATTCTACGTTGCACCCTGTTATTGACTTGGCCAGGTCTATTAATGGTCTTCCTCCTGTTGAAGAAGAACGGAACCGTGCTAGAGAGAGACAGGTAAGTGCTGCAGCTACGTGTCGATCGGGCCTCACTCTTCTGTAGTGTTGCGTGCTGATACATATCTCACATCTGTCAACTTATGTTGCTGTGCTCCCTACAGTACCTGCTTCTCGAGCGCTATCATGCCCACAATGTTGTTGCTTCTCGCCAGATGCAGCAGAGGCATCAAAACCTTCGACAGTCACCTTCCTCGGTGCAGCAGAGCCGACCAAATCCCATGTCCATGTCGATAGCAGCTGGCGAGTCGCCCTCGGGGAACGTTGCAGCTCCACCCTTTGGTCGGATGAGATATGATCGTTTGGGGGGTTCCTCTCTTTTCTAAATGAAACGTCTGAATTCGAAGGTTGTTTCTATGTACCGTATACACTGGATTACGCCAGAGGCACCACCATTGATTGATGTAACGTGAACAAGCCCCGTGGAAAACGAAAGATTTGCTACAGCTACAGCTAGCGAACCAAGGCTGAATCCTTTTAATTTCTTATAGCAAAAAGTCCTGTAACATAGATTAGTTTGTGTGTATTGTTGGGGTTGCTCAGTTGTGGGGATAGTGCTTTTTTCAAAGATGCATTGTAACCGAGCGATTGTGTGTTGTTGCGTGCTTTTCTTTCTTTCTTCCAAGGAACACAGATTGGTTTCCTTAACTTGCCATTTGCACGACCGTCTCGACGGCCACCTTGCAGCCACTGTAAATTCCAATCTGGTTGTTCTTCATGATACAGTCATTCATTTGCACCAATACATCGGGACTGGCCAAGAAGAGATCAAGGAATTCACGAGCATCGGATACCTCTCTGGCTTCGACCGTTCCATCTCCCAATTCGCTGGCTCGTTTGGCGGAAAAGGCTTCGTGTTCTCCCACACGACGGAGCATGAGCTTGGGGACACAGTAAAAGGCCATTTCCGATGGTTTACATGCGAGGACATCCGAGACACGGCACAAGATATCGGTGGTAACCACGGCGGGGATGTATTCCTCATAGGCAAAGAGGGTAATGGCTTTTTTCGGTTCGTTGGTTTCGCTCGCGAGCAAATTCTCTTGAAATTTAGTCAAATCATCCATGGAATCCACGATATCATAGTCCAGTTTGAGTTCTGCCAGTACTTCCGTGAAGGATGCCTTCATGTGTTTGTGATCACCGGCATTCAAAAAGAGCTGTAGCTTTCCACCAGTGACCAGATCGGCGACATTTCTCAAAAAGTTGGAAATGTATGTCTTTTGTGCTCCGGCTCCTCCGACGGGGATGAGGACGCGACGAGGTTGAACTTTGCCACCATTGTCACCAAATCCCTTTTTGGCCCGAGCAATTCTACGTTGGCAATCGACGTCAATGTTGTCCACCATTTCCTTGGGACACCAGTGTCCTGCGTATACGACTTCTTGGTGTTTGATTCCCATGCGTAGGAAGGATTGATAATTGACAGGTCCCTGCATCATATTCTTGGTTTTGGGTACGGTCAAGAACCACTGTGGGTAGTTGTCCACGACCAAGTTGACGACATTCTTGAATCCGGCCGCGACGGCAGCCAATGCAACGACTTGATGAGTGGTGATGATCGGGATATCTTTGGGATAAGCGAGCAAGAGGGGTTGTAGGTGAGCGGCAGTGAGATTAGCGACGCGAAGGGCATCGGCATCTCCCTGCAAGAGCAGAGTTCCCAGCATTGTTTCAATAATGCCGCCCATTTCCGAGGAGAGGCGAGAAAGCTTGGAGTACAAGTCATCGGTGGACGCCAATAAATCGGCTTCATCGGACGAAATATTGAGCAGGTCATGAAAGATGGTGGGGTATCCCTGCCCTAGTGCCCACGATACGGTGGAGTACGCCAATCGATGATGACCAAATCCCATTCGAATGGTAGCGACGACAATGGGTTTCTTGCCACTGTCACTGGCCGATTTCAAAAAGTCTTGCAATTTTTGCACGTCCTTTGGATCGACTGGTTTTCCTCCCGCTGCCGAGGGAGCCTCGCCGCCTTCTCTACGAGTGACATTCAAGCCGGAAATGTAGGGACTGGGGAAACATTCCAATGGAATTGCTTCCAAGGATGCCTGGCGACCACCCAACTGGGCCTTTTGCGCGACAACGACCTTGAGTGCCGAGACGGGATTCTGTTTGGGAGCCCCTACGTGGGCGTCAATGTCACACTCAGTCTTTGGGTTATTGAGTAAGCGCTCGTACTCAGCCTTGGCCCACATGTCCAAAGCCTTGTAAGAGATAAAGCCTCCCACCAGAAGACCACCAACAGCTGTCAAGGCAATGGTGACCACATCCTTATTGCCTTGACCGTTCAACAGGTTTGTCACCACGTCCATAATGGCACCTTTGCTCTCCATTCCTTCTTTCTTTCCTTCTTTCTCAGATGATGATGATACCTATCCTTTAGACTTTTCTTCCTTTTCTTCAAAACCCAAAGGTTCTAGCAGATACCGAGACACGTACCGGTACAACTGAAGCTTTGTAAAAGTTGTGATGATGTGGGTAAGGATCGATGAATCTTTTTCTCACTTGGAAGCTCCTTCGAATTCGTCCTCTTCTTTCGAACAACAAACAAACACCTTGACGTCTCCTTTCCGAAGGATCCTTGTTGGATTGATGTCATGATGTACGTCAGCGACCATTGAATTGGATCACGAGAGTGATTGAAGCTATTTTTCCTTATAAAACAGCTTTGTTGGCTAAAATAGAATCGAATCCGTGCATGGAACCGTCGAGCCTCATTTTTTGGTCGAAAGTCGTAACCCAGTTTTCTCTGGTCTTTTCAAAACAATGGCGTCGACGATGGACGAGCCCCCGACTACCCAGACCGACGGCACTGTGGCTGAAGGCTTGAGCAATGATTCAAACAATGGACAAGAAGTCGTCGATTCAGACGAAGAAGTCTTTTTTGACGCCATTGACGAAACATACACTGTGGTCTATGAAGAAACAGAAACCGTTGACGTCGAAACCAACGCTGCCGAAGATGGACAAGTCGGCGCTGCTTCGAACGAGGAAGGAAACGTCAATGAAGATGATGGCAATGAAGAAATGGGCGACGAATCTTCGTTTACTAAAATCAGTGATCTCATCGTCAAGTGCAAGGAGCATCTCGACGATTGGCAAAAACGCGTCTCCAACGGAGTCTTTCTAGAAAACGAAAAGCACCCAGCCGTCCAGCAGCTCTACCACGTTTTAAACAACAACAAACCCGTGGCTTTCAATCGAGCGATAGCAGTCAGTCTATGGGCCTCGGGAGTCGTCACAAATCTCGTGTACATTGTCAAAGAGGAACAAAAAATTGCCGACAATGAGCTTGTTTCCCGCGCGCTCTTCTTCTTGGGATGGCTGGCTAATTTTCAAGGACGCAGTTGCGTCCAGACTCTGGTCGACAAGCATCTCTTGGTAGAGGCGATTCTTGATTGTCTCAGCGTCGTTGATACTACTTCTTTGACTGTTGTCGAACAGGGATTGTTTGCCTTGACAGCCCTCACGCGAAAGGACTCACGTGTCGTTCTGCAAAAGGTTGTCGGAAATGTCGACTACACGGGCGGTGGCATTGCCGTCATTACCAAGTCAATGAAACAGAACCCCGAGTCAATGGTTGTGGCGTCTTATGGCTGTCGGCTCTTGTCTCGACTGGCCAAGAATACAGGATATCACAAGCGGTTGCTCGGAGATGGTGCCTGTTCTGCCATTGTGAGATCTCAAAACAGAGCTCATGGCTGTCCCCCGCACGAGGCAAACTTGGCTGCCGCAGTGAATGGTCACGCAAAAATGTTCTCGGACCTCATCCTCGAGCACCGGAAGCACGGTTCAAGCACGAACGATTGCTGAACTGAATGATACAGAATGATGTTCATACAGTATCGGTACCGTACTACACAGTGAAAGATGAACTTGGAACCAGACACATGAGAGATGGCCTGTGCTTCCAACGTGTCCCCTCAAAACAATATGAAACGACTTGCTTCCTTGCTAGGGTGTTGTGCCAGTGATATTGTGTAGTCTACGATCTTATTGTGCAAGAAGAAACAAGGCCTAAATAGTATTCCAACCCAACTGTCATCTGCTCCGGAATGTACCGTATGCACAACCCAGAATGAGCTCCTGGCTTCCAGCTATTTACGGCCACTTCTTAGATTTCGTTATTGCTTTTGCCTTTTCCGAGAATCGAATCGAATCCAGCCATTGAGCCACGAAACATACATTTGTTTGCATCTCCAGTTCACTCCATGTTTAGAAGGTTCAGATCGATGCGATTCAAGCCATCGGTTTCTTGCTCCTCAAACGAAGGAGCCAAAGGAGGTCCCATCAAAGCTTGTTCAGCAAACCTCTCGGATCCGATTGATGCATGTTTGATGTTTCGGCAACCGAGGGGAAACCATCGGTCCTTCGCCAGGAGACCGGTTGAACGAAAGAAACGCAAGCAAACGAAACTGAGATCAGAAGAGGAAGTAGCTTTGATTCCGCCACGATTGGAGACAAACGAAGCTTGTTCCGACCACGGAGCATCACGCTACGGTAGGTTAGTCGGAGAAAGCCTCCCGATGCCGAGGCAAAGTGATATCCAAAGCATCCGCGACACGGCCATGATCGTCCCACCAAACGACACAACAAGTTTTAGTCCATCAAGAGAGGATTGTTGTGCAGTCAAATGTACGTTTAGTTAGCATGTACCGTATTGTGTGAATTTGAAATCTTAGGCCAGTGGCGAGGAGTGCTTAGAATGCCACATTTCTTCCACGTCCACGTCCACTTCCACTTCCACTTCCACCACTGTTGTTGTCTTTTTTCCCATTGACATTTGGTTCTTGTTCTTCTTTTTGTTGTTGTCCACCAATCCGCATCAATCTGCCTTCATTTCCCTCGACTTCTTCTGCTGCAGCCGACAAGGATCCCGATAAGGAGCTGGTCCGTAGAATGGTCTTGGCAAATTTGATAAAGACCCGTGCCAACCCTCCCACGACGTACGTGAGCGTCACAATACCTGCCAATGCCGACACTGTAATTTTAGTCCTCCATCGTACTTTTCCCGTTTCCGGATTGACATCACTTCCTTCGGAGGATGGAGCGTCATCCAGGACTCGCAAATCGACGGCGGTTTCCATTTTGCGGTAGACTTCGGAAAAGACGGCGGGTAAAATGACAAAAAATCCTCGGTATCCTCGGTACGCCATGTAGAGCGTCCAGAACAACGATGCCTTGGCTTTGAGTCCAATTTTGCGTTTCATTTTGCTGGCTTGTGCCGCCTTGATATCCACCTCTTGGGCGCGGGGTTTCAAAGACATGCCAAATTCATTGAGGCTTGTCAAAAGGCTTTCATTACTATTGTTGCTGTTGGTGGTGCTCTTGATTTTACTGCTCTTGCTGCTACTGTCAGAGTCGTCGTTGTCGTCGTCTTGGACAATGTCGTCATTGAATTTGGGGAGTTCTTCATCCAACGAAGAAACGAGAACCGTTCTCCTTCTGCTTTCCAGCACTGGACGATGCAGGACCTGCTGTTGTCTGCCCAATGATCCACTCCTGATCTGCTTGTGGACGACCTGCCGTGCCGAAAAGGAATCAGCAGTCTGTAGAAGCACTGCTAGTAGAAGCAGAGGAAGTACACTCCCCGTCATCATCATGGTCAAGGAGATTAGAATACAATATCTTGCAAGCTCGAAGAACAATAAAAACAAAAGAAACAGCTTCGTGGGAACGCTTTTTGGGATTTGGTCTCCCAGACCACACACCTTTTGGTTACCCCCTCAGTTGCACTCTGAAATCGATTCGCCCGCGTTTACTGTGGAAAAAAGAGTAGCCGCACTTCAGTTGCAGAATCAACGGTCATGTGTATCCGTAAGTACCAAACCTGTACTTAACGTTTTTTAACGTTTAGATCGATTCGTGGATAAAAAGAACCATTGAAGGTTCTAAGGTTAAGGTTAAACTAATTCAATCGCATGCGCACGTCCCGGTACCGGTACAGGTCCAGCCAAATCGATTGTTGAAGGTGCAGCACAGACTTCTCTCCCTCATTGAATTGCTATGGCAAACAGGAGAGAAATCCGAGCTTGGCCGACAAGAGCGGTGTTGAATCGATGGAACGACTGGTAACGTACCAGATAAACTGTTAGCAAGTGTCTTATTGAAGGTGCAGCACTGACTTCTCTCCCTCATTGTATTCCTATGGTAAACAGGAGGTAAATCCAAGCTTGACCGACAACAGTGTAGGAGGTACCACAGTAGGAGGATTGTTCGATCGATTCGATTCGATTCGAGGTAAGTCTATTATCATGAGTGGTTTTGAAGGTACATCGCTGACTTCTCTCCCTCATTGGATTTCTATGGTATTCAGGAGGGAAATCCGACTACGGGCAACACAAATAACAGCCACCTTCAGCTCCGCTAGAACAGGAAATAAATGTTTGGTTTAGTTGGGTCCCGACTCGTAGCGATCCAAAGCTTGCTTGTGGTGTTGGTCATCATCCCTTTCTCGTCGCAACAACCCGCATTGGTCAGTGCGTTTTCTTCTTCTTTTGCTTCAACGTCACCCAATCCAACGACAATCCACAGCCTTTCCGTATTGACAAGCCAGCGGCACCCACAGAAGCAGACGCAAAGACATAGGACACACAGTCTGCTACCCATGGCAACGCGAATAGATGAAATTTCGCTCTCTACGGCGGGCGGCAGCATTGCCCAAAAGATGGATCCAGCCGGTACGATGATGGAGGAAACAGCACCAGAAGAACTCGAACTAGTGCCAACAACCTACGCCCAAGCATTCCAGTTCTTCTTCTTTTCATCCCATGGCACGGGACCACTCCTCGTCAGCATTTCTCTGGTAATCATGCTCGCCACAAGGATGATGCTGCTGGGGCCACTGTCTTGGATGGACGCTGCAGTGTTTATGGGTTCCATTGTGTTTTGGTCCATCCAGGAACATTTTCTTCATGCACAGGTACTACACTCCAAAGTGGACTGGTATGGCAAGCAAATCCATCAGGCCCACCACGACAAACCATACTTCAATATCACAATCGACCCTGCACCCATGATGCTCATATGGATGGCAACGGCAGGAGCTTTGCTTCGGTGTCTCTTTCCTCTCCCCATTGCCATTTCAGCCACTCTGGGGTATGCCATGGCGGGGTTGTTTTACGAATGGGCACACTTTATCGTACACACCAAAGTACGACCGGCGTCAATGGGTGAGTTGGTGCTTTATTCGAATCGATCGATCGCTCGCACCTCTGTTATCCAAGCCTCACTCAAGCCGTCCTTCTCTGGTGCAGATTCGAAAGCCATCCCTCATTGAATCCTATGGACCATGGGATGGCGGTCAGTTCTCAGCCCATGACGACCAAGTTGGTGCAATTTGAAAAGCAAGAGTAAGTCGCCGGTTTTCTTCAGTATCAGAAGAGAAGAGAAAACCATATCTATTTCTTACTTTCTATTCTCTTACTGCTGACGACTGAGGAAATACCATTGTCGAGGACTCCTTTTTGAACGAACAAGCAAACGAACGAACGAGGCTACCGCTACGGAGGAGGAGGCTCTGTTAACTCCAGCCCTACCAACAGCCTGAACAGAGGAGCCTATCGTCGCCGAGTCATTGAAAGGCAACAGCCACCGGAAGAGGCAACAACACACAAGAGAGTGGATCCTCCTACCGGATTCATCCCTTCTTGTTATTTCCTACTGTTTTGGTGGTGATTCCTGTGTCGGTACCCATTTTCCTGTATGCGCAAGTCAAGTACTGTTGCCACTAGCTATACGGCTATACGGCAGCTGGCTACAATGGCTGGATTGACAATATTCGGTTGTGCGTGTATTCGTCATAAAGATCCAATGCGAGGTAACCGAGTGCAGCGAGCAAAGTCGAACCTGAGTGTGTTCGGAACTGTTGCCACTGTCACCGATTGATGTAACTCTACGGTAACTGGCTACAATGGCTGGATTGACAATATTCTGTTGTGCATGTATTCGTCATAAGGATCCAATGCAAGGTACTGGTAACGAAGTGTAGCGAGCAAAGCCGGAATTTCGGTACTGTTGCCACTGTCGTCGATGTAGCTATACCGCAGCCGGCAACAATGGGTGGATTCATAATGTTCGGTTGTGCATGTAGTCTATTCGTCATAAGGATCCAATGCAAGATACCGGCAACGGAGTGTAGCCTGCAAAACGGAACCTGAGTGTGTTCGGTACTGTTGCCACTGTCACTGATCGATGTAACTCTCTGCCTACGGTAGGCACCGTAGCTGGCTATACAATGGCTGGATTGCATCTATTCGTCATATGGATCCAAGTAGCGAGCTGAGGAAACAGGAGACCAACGCTGAAAAAAGCCGAATCTTCTTTTCTCCTGGTTTCTTCTTCAAGTTAAATGCTACATTTAGGGATAGAGGTATAATTCTTGAAAAAGAAAAGGCTTTTACAACGGCCAGAGTACAAGACACAAGAGATTTATAATGATTCCCGGATTGAAACATCTGATAAATCTCATCAAGTCTTAGTAAAGTCTTCCGTATTCCATTGTCTTCCAATTCAACCACTGCAGATTATTGATGGCCTTGCTTTGAACTTTCACTATTTTGGCTTTTGAGAACCGCTGGCTTTTTGACTGGCACAATCGAGACATGGAGACGGCGACGCCAAAAGCACTCACGCCAGTCATGGTAAACTGGACGCACTCACGAACGCATACAAAACAATTTGTGCACTTGTTTTTAAGATACGTCGCATGTGAGTGGATAATGCCCGTACATGTACACTGTACGTGCCGACCTTACTACCAATACCGCTGGCAAGATAATAATAATCAACCAACCGGGGGATACCCAAGTTAACCAACCCAACCCAACCATGCCAATACCGGTGACAAGTTAGCCATCCAACCGTGACATGCATGTAATAACGCGAGCGAGGTGCGAATGGCCTCCATTTCTCGCACTGTTTCCATGCAAAACCACATCCAATCTGATTTGCCACCATTCTACTTTGAAACCTTCATTTTTCCTTTCGCAGTCTGTGCTAGCTAGATTGGATCATTCTATGATACCGGTATATCTCTGGCCCAATCGATTTGTTGCCTCCACTAGTTGCGTCTTTGGCTCAAATGCAAAAAGGTCTAGCCCGTCTTGCAGTGCAATGCTACTGCCAAGTTGGATAGTGTCCAACAGCTGTAGAAATATTATCTTATTAAAAAGGAAGAGTTGTGGTTTTTCATCTCTCACTAGAACATCAGAAGAGGCGACAATCGGAGGAAACGCTTCAATGTCTGCTAAGTGGTTCCAAGTACTCAGTAGCCAGCTACGAGATGCTCTACGAGTATGACCATGGAAGCATGTGGCACGGGGCACGCTGTTCCAGACGGCTCTTGCGTTTAGCTGTTCCTGCCAAGGGAGTATTCTGAAGTTGCCAATCCCCATCGCCTGACATACCCTACTTTATAAGGTTACTGAAGAAATGTAGATTCTTTCCCCGCTCAGGAGAGTGATAAAGGGATTAAAAGCAGGATCTCTCGTGCCGTCTTCTCAGTTCGCAATGACTTGATGAACAGTCGAAATCTGATTCGTTCGTAAACCGGTACCAATGGACCAATGGTCAACAGAGCGAGTATCATGGTTCCTGTGTAGTACTGTGGTTGCACAGTCAGCATCCAGCAGGATGCCAGAGGATAGGTTCTTGGAATGCGGAGATGTTGGAGTGAAACGGACCACGGCTATTGCAGCAGCAGCAGCCAGGGGCGGAAACGAAACTACTGCTTTCTCGCCTTACCGGTAGTCTAGCACACTCATACATCCTTCCGAGTCTCTCCGTGTCCAGCTCTATCTCAGGCGGTCAGCGGCCACGCACATGCAGCTCCTGTCAAAGTGGCCATATCATTATTATTCTCTCCTTATTACTCCTATAGTTGATTGTCCGGAGAGCTTGGTGTCATAATAAAGCCTCACCATGGATCAGCAACAACCCCACCACCATCAGCAGCAACAGCAGCAGCAGCGACGATTCCCCACCGCTCGTAGTGTCAGTCCGGAGCTACCCCAGGAATCAATTCAATCATTTAGTAGCAACTACACGCCTCGACCTCCTGCTACCAACTTTCGCTCCCAACGGATAACAAGTCCATTATCCTCAGCCTCTTATATTAGCGGTGCCGCTCCTCCTCTGTTACTCCAACCTCCTACGGCCGCAACAGGCTTCTTCCCTTCTGGTACTACTACTACGACTACCAGCATGGATGTGGAGATGGACCAAAAGCTACCCCCTTCTTCCGCCGCTGCACCAGCTGCCGATCTTCCCCTGGCAACAGCGCAAAAGAAACAAGCCATTGGTAGCATCCCCATGCTACCCAGCTTTCACATTAAAGAACGCACTGCGATTCAGATTCCCGAGTCGACCCTCTCCTCCAGTCTCTTGTTGGACCGTATTCTGGAATACCTCCGACTCCACTCCATTTCGTATGAGTGCGAGCCCAACACGGGATGTCTCGAATGTCAGGCTTCCACGGATGATGTCGTGGGATTTGGCATTCAACTCTGGAGGGCACACGAAAACGGCCAGAAAGTCTTTTGGCTGGAAGCCTCACGACGAGACGGATGTTCCATTGCCATGAATGCCATTCGACGCAGTTTAATTCGTCATGTCCGGGGGGAGCAGCAGCAAGATAACAGCATGAACCCAGCAGCACCATCCGCTGCTTCGTTGTTGGGACGACGATCCCACAATGACTTGGTGGGTAGTGCGGCTTCGTCTCCCGTCAACAATCCTGCCTGCCCAATGAGTCGAAACAAGCGTCAACGAAGTCTCTCTCCTCATCGAGCTCGATTGAATTGTCAAGATGCGCTTTCCATTAGTCTCCGTCTTTTGAACAGTACATCGCCCGATCAAAACGAGTTGGGTCTCCAGAGCTTGACCGTCATTACTGATCCTCGATTGGTAGATCCCACCGATGCCGCATTTGCCGCTCGCGTTGTTATCCTCGGAGAAGGAACCATGGGGGTCCCACTCCAGTTCTTCTTGACGCGGATTCTACAGGCCGTTCACCCCAAAAAGGCCCATCAGCAGTGGCCTGCCGCTGCCGCCAAGTTGTATCATTTGACCTTGCACGTGTTGGCGAATGCCTTGCAAGTCTTGGAAGACAATGACAACAATCATCCCATCAATTTGGCCTGCCCACTCTGGCAGGTCGTTATGGAATGTTTGCTCTTTAGCATGGACCATGCCGACAAGCATCCTCATGAAGCGACGCTCGCAGTCAAGTGCATTCGCCATTTGCTACCCGCCACCAAACGAGCCGTCGCCTTTGCGCAGCATTCCCAGCAACTTAATTTGAGTGCTATGCAGGCATCCAGTACACGAGCCTTGCAATTTGGTAAAACGCATCACAAGGCCTTGGAACAAGAGTCGCAACGCCTCTTGTTGAAGCTTTAATAATAGTAGTCTTGCTACCGCTGCTTTTAAGACTAATTCAACTAACTAAGCAATCGAATTAAAACAAACGAATCGAACGAAACTTAACTACATACATGTAGACTACGGCTGTACAACGAAAAGAGCTCATTATCTTTTGGTTTCGCATACCGTCGGGTACCGGTGTCGTCCTCGAAGAACGTAGTTGTGCGACCCATACCGTAGCTAGCTAGTGCCGTCATTGTCGATGCTCGTTCTGATGGACAGGGGGTTGCATCATCCAACAAGCGGTGACAGAAAAATCCACCATCCACTGGGATGGATACCTGCTGAGTTGCTAGCTTCAGCTAAAGCCATTCGAAGTTCTTCTACCGTACTCTAGCTGGACCAGAACCAGCCCGCCCAAGGGCATCGCTGGCTGCCTGGATAGACATTAAGGAAATCTTGATCAGGTGTTTGGTTGGGCTACATACCAACAAGCAACGAGCGATCTTTCCGTGTCCAACTAGCTACGGTAGCTAGATGTACTGGTAACCGAGCACAGGATCTGCAGGCTAGGACAAGGCCACCAAACGTTGGTGTCCGCGTACCAGAAACGTTTTCCCTCTAGCCAGCTACCAGGTAACCTTGCCAGAAAGCGGCTTGAAGATCGCGGTTCCAAGCCTTTCTCAATTCTTCACGCTACGGTTGCCACGAAAACTGTTGCCTGGACGCCTGGACCAACAAGGACTCGACTCTGGCTCGAATCCTGCAACACGCTGTTTTTGCATGGTGTTCCCGGTAGCTGCTGGATTAGAAAGAAGTAGTCTAGGGCGAGGCCGAGGACTCTGTAGGATCTCACGATCCCAACAAACTATACTATTGCCTCCAAGACAAATTACGGCGAAAGTTCAAGGTCCGATACTACCTTGATGTTCAGCCAAACATGCATATTCTGGATGGATAGGATAAAGGCAAGTCCTGTTGAGTGACACGCAGATCGCTTGAGATCTAGCCATCGTGAGAGCGACATGTTGTAGGTACAGTAGAAGCAGCTCTAGCTAGAAAGGCTAAGAATGGGTAGGACCTTCAGTGATTTCGGACGATGGACCGGCTTTCTAGCTAGCTAGCAGAAGGAGATTGCATTGAAGATTCGATTCGAGACTTCCGTCAGCGAGCCGTCAGCCACTTTCTCCTACTACAGGCATGCAGCAGCTTCACTTTCTATGCTTGGCATTGCTGCAATGGCGGCAAAACTAATCTATCCTTAGCTTCTAGCTTGCTCCCGTAGCTACCACCGAAAGTGCGCCATGGCAACTGTAGGCAACTGATCCGGTTGACCCTTGGCATAAGAGTCTTCCTTGTTCCGATTGAAATCTTGTAGGATCTCAGTGGCTGCTTCCAGCAAGGGCTTGTCCTTGGCCGCTTCCAATTCGGGCATGTAGACTCCATCCTTGAGGATCCATACAGTGTCAATGCCCGCCAACGATCCTCCCGTAATGTCGGTTTCCAGGGCATCTCCGACCATGCAAGCTCGCTGTTCTTGCTGGCCATCCAACAAGGCAATATCGTACACGTCCCCAAAAGGTTTTCCAATTCGTTTGACCAATGCTTCCGCCTCGAGGGGCGTCTTGCCACCGACGCGGATCAGTTCTTGCTCGTAGCGATCCCCCAGCCGGCCCGGCATGGGTGGTCGTTCAAAATCGGGTCGAATCTTGTCGGGGTTGGATACCACCATGGGAATACCTCGTTGGGCGGCGATGCGCAAACTTTCCGTGACGGCGGTTTCGTACGCATCGGAATCGATTCGTTTGTTAATATCGTCGTCGTTGCCATTGCCATTGACGGAAAAAGTGCCACTGGCGAGAATGAGGTCCGCTTCTTGGACGGGTGCAAATGTCCAGCCCGAGCTTTGAATATAAGGGACATCTCGTTTGGGATCACTTCCTAGGACAAACACTTTGTTGTCTCGGTTGTGTTTTGCATTTTGGGATTTGATTTGTGTCAAGATATCCCATGGTTGTTTGGGTAGCAACGACACATCAATGTCATTGTCGTCATTTGCAACAACTCCCTCTGCTAGCATTTGAAAGGCGACTTCTCCACTGGTAATGATATTGTCAAACACCTCCTTGTGATTCTGTTGTTGTTGTTGATCCTTGATGAGGAATCCCAATCCTTGCAGATTGATAATGGAGTTCTGTTTTCGTTGACTGGAATTGGATAGAATGACGAGAGTCTTGTTGGCCTGTCGTAGTTTTTGAACCACTTCAATGACCCCCTCGTAGGGCGTGAATCCATCGTGCATGACTCCCCACATATCGAGAAGGAAAATGTCATAGTCGTCAACGATATCTCGAATCCCATTGACCAACTTCAGTGTCTGCGTGTTGGTGGAAGTTGTGGTATCTGTGTCAGCTGCCTTTGATAATGATAAGGTTGTGATAGCACTGGATGTTCTATAGTTGGAATAATGCAGGGGCCTTGAGAGTGACTGCTGCTGCTGCTGATGTCGTTGATATCCTGTGATTGTTAGGATTTGGTGTGGCAGAATCTGAAAGGCTCTGGTGGTAGTCAGCGTCATGCAAAGACACCACGCAGACAGAAACAGTGAAGTAGGTATTGATCCTGTCATTATTGCACCTCTCTGATTTCTATGACTGTGAGCTGGCTGATACTAATAGAAAGCAAGAAATTCTTCTCGGTTAGAAGCTATATCTGACAACGAAAGGTACTGTAGTCTCCAAGCCCACAATAGTCTAGTTTGTTGGTTGAGAACGAAGATGATCAACCCCGTGTGGGTCTGTCTGGTGTCGTGGCGCCTAGAATTATCATGTTGAGTATACAGCTAATTTTGTAGCATTCTGGCATTTCAGCTGAATTGAGCATTAGTCATATCTAGGAACGTTGCTTTGTATTTAAGTAGAATGTAATCCACGTGATTTTGCCTTGATGTCACAAGTTTGTGAGGATTATAAATGTGTTATGTCTACTATCCTGAGGGTTTTTATTTCAATGTTAAATAGGCTGTTTGTTGGTATCGAGAGAGACTTGTATTTCTTATATTCTCTGGCACTTGCTTTCTGAATTACATTTCTCTAGCTATTA